GGGTAAATTCTCCTTTGGTTCAGCCTCCTTGTAGAGGGCAGGGTTGACTGCAAAACAGCACAAATGGAGCTGGTAGGGATTCAAAAGCCAGAGGTTCATACTACTAAATGTGTCGTTTATTATTATGCCCCGAATGCCAGGACAGCATTATTTGTCAATGCTCATTAAAACAGTCACAAATCTCTTTTACCATGTGACCAAAAAATAACCAGGGATTCAAGTTCAGGGAAATATGGTGTTTTGGTTGCTGGACCTCTGTCGTCCACATTGGGAACTCGCTGAAATGACTGATGCTGCAGTTCTTCTCTGAATGCACGTCTCATTCTTACTAAGCGCGTGTAATCGGCGTTTCATTTAATGTGGAAACAAATAATTAGTAGTAGCTGTAGTGCCACCACGGGGAGGGAGACGGACATGGCAACTGGTCCCCAATTGGGATTTAGAGGGAAATGACGCAACTGGCGCATCCCTGAGTAGTTGCAATGAGGATGCCCAATTGGAGGCTACGAACTATTTTCTGGCTGCACAAAGGATATATTATTATTTGTAATGGTATGATCAGCTGGTAGGAACACACTGTGCCTGTTCATTCACTGTGTTCCAGGTAAGGTAGAGACACATGAGATGTAGCTTTCATGTTCTACTACAATCTATTTTCACAGCTGCTTTCAGTCTGTATTAAAAAGGTAAAATTGTCAATGCTGGGTTGCCAAATTCCACCTCTACTCATAAAATATAAACGTTTCTTTCTTTCTTTCCTCCTTCAAGACCCGAGACAAGTGCCAATGTCTCGCTTACTACCTGCTGATTAAGGTGAAGGGGTTTAACCCTGAAACTTCAGCCCAGGCTCACTTACTTCTCCTCTATAATTACTCTGGAGATCGATAAGACAATTTCTAGTTTTGAAGCACCAAGGACTCCGTCAACTGTTCGATGTCAGCTTCAGGAGACCTCCTCCTCTGCTGTTCCTCCTCCAGTCTACAGTGAAGCGCCAAATCAACGTTTCACCTTTTAAACAAAACCTTTTTACAGTGGAGACCAACTAATCACTTCAGTCAACCGGTCAATAAATCAGTTCGCCACACAGCAACCGATCATCAGTCACAGCACTTGTACTCAGACATACACAACGAAAGAGGAAGCTGCTGTCCTGTCTTTCTTCACTCTCCATGTGCAGTTGGTAACAAGTTGGTAAGACGGCTGTGGCTGGTGTACAACGAGTGGTGGATTTGTATATCAACCAAAAGCACAACGGACACTCTGCTCCCGGTTGCCAGTGAGCAGTAATCCCAAAGATTCCCTCAGAGAACTATGAGCAGCCTCACAATGTGTGTGTGTGTGTTTCCTGCAGGCTGCACAGCTCGGATTTAAGTTTTTCTTCTCCTTGGGGCTTTGAGATTGATTCCTCATGGGTATAATACAGATTGTGTTCTTTCACCTTCCAACGCCGAGCTGAAAACAATTTCAAGGTTGACAAACAGACGATAACAACATAAAAAGAATAGAAAATCCTGGTGTTTTTCTGACCCAGCGGAAATCTATGAAGAGTACGTTACGATGTAAATATTCAACTCAACGCACAGTGCCTACCGACAAAAGCAAGAGGCCATTTTTGGAAGTATTCAGAATATAATAAAACCCCCTAAAGCCAAATGGCTGCAGCGCATAGAACAGAGTGGTGTCGTGGTAATGCATATTGAAGCCGCAACCAATAAATAAAGCACAAACGTAAAACAATAAGCTGAACTAGTCAATGTTTTTAATGTTCAAAATGTATGAAAGAAGATTCTTTATGGATAAGGAAATGTAAATGTATGTTTAAATTGTCAACCCCACAAGATAGCTTTGCAAATGGTGATGTCACCTTTTATGTTTAAGTTCATGTGTGAAGTTGCGTGGCAAACAAATCTGTCATCAGACTTGTTTCAGGAGCTTTTTTAACCCGACAGACTGCTGGCTGAAATATTAAACAGTCAGCGAGTCACAGAGAGGCATGCTGGCCAACTGCAAGTGCAACAACCACCAATTTAATCTATATTTAATGGTCATGAATGGATGAAAGCCTGGCTTTTCTTTATATAGCATGTGCTTAATGGGAGGGGGCCCTTCTAATGACGAAGTAAAGTAAGGTATGAGGTATGAAGCACTTTTTGTTTGGAGTCAAACCTTTTTTTTCACAAAAAGTCAGAAACTGCCAACGCTCATCCCCTTCCTCAACCAGTAAGAATACCTGCCAAACAAAGGAATTATTCAAAGCAGGAATTCAACACCCATTATTGAAATCACACATGTATCAGATATTTCAGAGAATATGAATTGTAATTAAAACAAAAATGATGGCTCTAACAACAATATTATGTGTAGCAATACGAGGTTTCAAAATGGTATAATATTGTTCTTATGTTAAAAAAAAGAAGAGCGATGTTCTAACTGGGTTGAGATGAGAATTGATATAGTTTTTTAAAATCTTAAATTGAATCGACTGTGTAACACTGCAGATTTATGTCTGGTGGCGGCGTGCAGAGCGTCTCTCATTCAGTCGTCTTATCCACATTTTACAAGTTGACTTGGGGATATGTAATGTGGATTTGAAAATCACAGATTTGCTGCTTCCCATCCCTCTTGTGTGATGCCACCGTCTCCACAACGCCCTCAGGGCACGATAAGAAACATCAGATGTTTAGGCCTTATCTGAGAGCTCACCATACCTCGGATGTATAGTGAAATGTCAGCAAATCTAAAATGCGTTGGTGGAAATGGATCTACTGAATCACCACCGAATGTTTGATTGGTTATCAGTTATTGCGTTTTGTATGTATGGTCTCTCAAGTTCAGTGATGTGAGAGATGGTTCGGGTTTTTAGCTTGAGAATTATAGCTTGGCTTTTGCATCCTGAGTAAGTATCTTGTCATTTCTATATCATGGCTAACTGCGTTGTTTTAGACTAATGATGGACGAGTTGCTTTCAGGAGCTCTTGTTACGTCACATGCTCTCCCATCAGGCGATGTAAGGGTACATCAAGGATACTTGTGAGCTTCACGTGGGGGTTCATTTTAAATCTACATATCGTAGAGCAAGCAAGAATCAGCAATTGTGTTACTGCTCAATACCGGTATCCACGTAGCAGGGTTATCAGTGACGGAGAGGAATGAGAGTGGTGGCAGTAAGTTATTAACATAGTATCAACTTACCAACGTATTATTGTTATTAGTCATAAGATTACCACCATAGCAACACTGAACCTCATCAACACGTTACTTTCATTCCGGTCACAGCAACACGGCTCAGATGTCACCAACAAACATTTAGCACCACATCAGCAGGTGAACGCTGCATAAAAACATGAAGTTCAATTATTGAAACTTCATGTTCCCCGAAGGTTACGTTTACAAATGACCCGACAACACGTTGTCACATCTTTTCTTTCACACTCAAAAGCTTCAAAAGATATAAAAATGAATCCAGCTAATTAAAAAGAACAAATCATTAATTTGTAGTCATTGTATTCATTTTTAAAAGGTTTTGTATTTTCATTGTATGAAGGCGTTTTTATGTAATTGAAGATGACAGCTCATCAATGCCACAGTAAAGGTCTGTGGAGGAGGAGTGCAGAGGGTGGGGGCTCCTTAACCTCATTCCTTTTCCTGCTCGGTGTCTATGCATTCATGCTCGCAGCTATTTAACCTTTTAATCATGACTGACAGTCGTGAGTGCTCCGTTTCTCCATGGAGGAAGCTGCAGTTAATTTGTGTCACCCATTAATTATGCAACTCAGGAGTGCCATGCTCCAATCTGTAGTATGTGATCAATAATAATGCCTCAATATTCCACATTGTGTATTCATATGTATTACGTGTTTTACCCTGTAGAACTTATCTATCTAATCTAATCTAATCGTATCTTATCTATTTGTAAAATTGGTTGCTATAGGACGGGATGACATCACCGAGTCATCTCAGGAAAATAAATGGGCCAATGAGGTTTTTTTTTTGACAATTTCCACAGATTGTCTGGGTGGTTTTCTTGCAATAGTTCTGTAATAATGGGCTTTTATCTGAATAAAAAAATGTATTTACAAAAGATGAGCGATAGATTTTTAATAAAGATATTTCATTGCGTATCCTAGACGATCTAATAAACAAGTAAAAAAAGTAACAGCCACAAAAGGCGTCAATTCAGAGGCTGGTTGTTTTAATGAGATCTGCAACAACTTTACATTTAACACAAAATCAGGAGCCAACAGGAAACGTTGAAGGAGCAGATACTCCTTCCAGCTCCCCCCAAAGATCAATAGCAGTCCATGTCACAAAGAGCTGTGGGCTCACACCCTGATCCAACTCCCAAACCGTAAATCATTCATCACCAGCACGTACCGAGAGCACCAGCAGCCAGAGAATCAGGCAGACCCTGACCTTTCCCTCAAACATCTACCCGATCCAATGCAATTTGTGTCCTACTTAAAGTCACATTAAATCAGAATCGGAACCAGAATGGGCTTTAATGGCCACGTATGCTTATGCATGCATGTCATTTGACTCCGGTTTGCACTTTGTTCTCTGCAAACACACAAATAAACTAGTAAAAAGGGCCACACACATCCAGAATGAAGAGCGCCTTCCCTCATCTTCAGTCTGTGGAAGAGCCGGCTTACATCCTCTTTGCAGCTCTTCAGGGCCGGTGGGGGGTCGATTGGGAGAGGTGATAAGGAGGCAGGGGGCGTGAGTGACTGTTTGAGGATGGCGGGGCAGTGGGGGGCGGGGGGTGAGTTTCTCCTGTAGTTTATGAGTACTTCACGGGGGCCTCTTCACGCTGACGAGGGGGCATTGAGTTCTGCAGTGACCCAGGGCTTCTTGTTGTTGTTTGTGCAGAAGGTTTTAGTCTGCGTACAGAAACTGATGTACGCAGGAATGACGTTGATATGCAAATGATGCACTATATTCAACCTTTTCCATACACACCGTTTTCCTTCTCAATGTATCTCTGTCTTGTCCCCCCTTAGAACATGACTCGAAGATGAGCGGCGCTCAGGCTGAGATAGAAGAGAAGGACTCTCCTCCACCCGAGGAGCTGGAGTGTAAAATCTGTTACCAACGCTACAATGCCCACCACCGCCGGCCCAAGGTCCTGGACTGCCTGCACCGGGTCTGCGTCCGCTGCCTCATCAAGATCCTGGACATCGCTGACGGGACGGACTTCATCTCCTGCCCCTTCTGCAGACACCAGACTGAGGTCTCAGAGTACGAGGTGTCGGCCCTCCCCGACGACGCCATCATAATGTCCCGTTTGGCGATGCGGGACAAATCCTGGAGCTCCGACAAGAACAGGGAGGTGCTCCTGACCCCAACGAGTTTCTCCTCCTCCAGCCCGTCTCGCGACTCCTCCAACTGCCTGGTCATCACCATAATGGAAGTGCAGGGGGACTCGCAGCGCTCCCCGACCCGAGACGGCAGCTCCGACGTCTTCGCCGAGCAGAGCCTGGACTCGGTGTCGATGGGCTCCAACGGGCTGGCGGATCAGGACGCCCTGTCCAAGTTCTGCAATCACGTGCCGCGCATCCTGGTGTGGCTGCTGGGCTTCTTATACTTTGGCTCGCTGCCTCTGGGAATCTACCTGCTGGTGATCCAGAGAGTGACACTGGGCATTGCTTGCGTTAGCTTGGTGCCGTCGAGCCTGACAGTTTGCCTGGTGTACGGGTTCTGCCAGTGCCTGTGCCAGGGCATGTGTGACTGTTACTCCCGGGGCTGACGGGGCGGGACAAAGTCGGCTGCAGAGAACAGGCATTTTGGTGTGTTTTTACCCGTCTGTACCCATGATGCCAACACAGATCCCCGACACTTAACTAACTACTAATGGACTCAGAGCCCCAGCAGGATGCGTTGGTTGGAGCGGCGCCCATAACTACATTTCTGTAACATGTTTCTGTCCCTAACATTCGCTCTGTGCCGTGTGTGTGACCTACTGTGACATCGTTTATTCAAGACTGTGTGCCGCCAGAAACCTGCGATGAGTATTAACTTTATACTCCCAGGATGCTCTTCAGTTAATTAACAAATGCCTTTATGGATTACTGCTTTACCCCGATGAAAAAAAAGGAGGGAGAAGTTGTATCCGACTTTGGACACCACTTGAAATTAAAAAGGTTGATTACTTCATTTTACAGTGAGTGTTCTTCAGGTCCACAAGCCAGCACTGATGGTACCACATGTTACCTAAATATCTCCCCTCAGTGCAAGTTGAACCTGCTGTAATTGTGATAGTGGTTTTGCCATCAGTTCCAAAAGATGGGTTGAATCCTTGCTGAAACACGACTCATCCAAACGTCCCACAGCTCATGAATTAGAAACTGCGTAAGTGGAGCTTTTCCAATTGCAATGCTTTGTTAAACAATGCAAGGAAAATCACCGGAAATGGCTTGAATGTTTGTAATGTTTGTATGCAACGCGGCGAGGAATAAATACAAATAGCTATTGACCATAGCAATTGTGAATAAGATAATATTTGAGCTATTCGACATTCACAGCGAGCTTCGGCATCTTTGCTCATACGTAAGGTTGTGAGCTTTGCTTTTCTAAATGTGCCCTGCTCCTATTTCTCCCACTGCATCATTATGTTGACTGGATTTAGCACATGTGAGGCAGAGACCAGACTCATATCTCAGGTTTTTTGATAGTCTTTTGATGTTAAGCAACAACCCTCCCGTTCAGTTCCCTGTCGTCTTGATTTAGTCTGCTGAAGCTTTGTGGTTAAGGAAAAGTAGTTGAGACCAAAAAGTACATTTCAGTGTGTTAGAATATTTGGAGACATGTTGAGTCGCTGCAGCCGTACCCAACAACAGGTGACACTTCCAGCACGACGTAGAAAAGAAGAAAAAAGGTTATGGCTCTAAATGAAGTGTTTCATTGTGTCAGTGGGACTTGGTGTTCCTGAGCATGGCGGTTTAGAACTTGATGGCTTCACACATTCTCACTGCTTTTGGTGTGCGCTTGGAGCAGTTATGCACAAGGAATTTTATTTTACTTGTAGGAGTCAACCGTTTCTGTGCAATGTTGATAACTGAGGACCCTGGGCTGAAAACATTCTGATAGAAACAACAAACTTCAGATAATTATATTTCTCATTAAAAAAAGGAAATGTTTTTTTTGTGCTAAACCTCTAAAACGTCTGGTTAGTCCCGTTCATTCTCTCTCGTGAGGCTCTACATTTACTTTCCTTTGTCGGCTGCTTCCTGTCACTGTCTCTGTACCCACTCTGCCTGTGTTTCTCCTTTGATCGACAGCAGCAACTCTCAGACTAGTGCTACACGTCTGGTTTCAGAAGCTACTAGACAATGAAATAAATGGAGAATTATTTTCAATATGTTGCTTGTGAGCTTTTTTCCTGCCGGTTGCCGTCATCAGTACTGTCATCGAAGGTCAATCTTGCAAAGTGTGTCTCACCCCCCTCAACGAAACCAACAAAATCCCAAAGGTAGTGGCTTATCTGGAAAGAGAAAAAAACTGGATGCGTAATGTCTCTTAATCCTTTTGGTTTTTTTCTCTTACTATTCTTCAAACCGTGATGACATCTGGCTGCACAAGAAAGATGACTCTTCTAGTGCACCAAAAGAACAAAAACTAAACTATTTATTCCATATAAAATGATGGTAACCGAGCATGAGAGTATTTCTAACTCAAAAGAGATCGATCAGCCTCTTTTCCATATTTTTGTCACAATGAGTCAAAAATAATAAAACAACAAAGTGCCGAATCTGGTTCCTACAGTACGACCGGTTCAGAGACAAAGAATAAGAGTGAGAGACACTCACCCAACTGCCATCTGTTTGCATGTGGAGCCTTTCTTCCTTCAAATTACACAATGTGTGCAGTTGAAGTGTAGTTGTGAAAATCAGTATTTTAATACATTTCCTGGTTTTTAGCCTTTAAAAAGAAGCCAGAAATAGTTCCTGTGAACATTTTTACCAATAGCACCTATAAAACACTTTTCTAACTAACCGACACAATTAATTAAACAAAGGGAGGCAACTGTAAGAATCCTTTATGTCTTTGTTTAAAGGCAAATACAAAAAATGAGAAGGTCAAGGGTCAGAGGTCACAACCCCTTGACTGTGATTAAAGGTGGTTAATGTTATATTCAGGTTATTTTTGAAAAGAAATGCTTGTTTAGAGCAGAGGATTCTGATTGGGAAGAAAAGTCCCTGCTAGCATCAACCTGTGACCTGGCTATATTTATATACGCATTCACTGAAATATTCAGCAATTTCAGGTGTCTCAAGCAGATGGGAGGCACATGAATTTTAATTACACATGAATAATGTAGTCATGTAGTCTGTTTTTTCTCTTTATAGCACACACTCAACACAAGATCCTTCTCTTTTCAATTCATGAGGTGACAACATGCACTGCAACCGATAAGAATCTAATGTGAGTGGGAGTTGGTGTTTATGGTTTTGTAGCTGGACACTTGAAAAGAAAGCTGCTGGGTTTGGAAACATTTCAGGTTGGTATGAAATGTGAGAGCCTTTCCTCTGAATGAATCACTGTGAGAAAGATGCAATGATCTGCAAATGGGAGAGTGCGGTGGAAAATATGAATGAAGGAGGCAATTAGGTAAGTAATATAATCATTCAGCCTTAAAATGGAACGTTTGTGAAAATGTGCCATCGTCATGTGGACTATTATTGTCATTGAGACAGTCCATCAACCCATCAAAGTTCGGTTTATGTGAGGTCATGAAATATGGTGAAAGATGTTGCATCTGGCGCTTAAAACCAAAGCAAAATCTTTTGTTTGAAACAATATACATAAAAATGACAGTTTTATTGTCCTACACTAGTTGAGTAGCCTCAATGCGCTTCGTTGCATTTCAACACTTTTGGGGCAAACCGTTGTTTGCAGGACATTAACGCTATCTGAAGATCAAAACAAATGCATGAACCAGGACTCCCCCTTGACGGTCCGAAGTCCAACCCCAAGCGTCTCACAAAATCCTCTAGGAAACATTGAATGTAAAATGAGGAAGGTTTCTTCTACACATCTAACATTTACAGCTCTTCTCTTTCAATGGTCTAATTACAGCCAATGGAAATCACATTCAAACCCACAAACACATCTCTTTCTCTCTGGGCCGTTGCCATAGAGACACAAATAAAACTGTCAGACCCACTGAGATGTTTCTCCCTGATGTGGCTTGAATGAAAACAGATGCTGACAGCTGGAGCACAAAGCACTGACCAGAGCAACCACTAGAGCAAGGCACTAATGCTGCCAGACTAATGCAATGCTCACGTTCACAATGACAAACAAAACAATAATGACAGGCTGTACCAACCGTCATCACAGCAGTAAGACTCCAACTAAGATGGTATTTAAGCAGATGTAGAAACGGTTGCCATGGTGATTTGCTGGAAAATTGCACAATGTTTTTTTACCCTTCTGGAAAGAAATGGAATCTATGCAGTTTTTGTCCTAGAATGGATAAAGAGAAAAACAAATTTCTTTCTTCCTGTTCACAACTGGTCATGATGACCAAACTAATGTGTATTACAGCCTCCTATACCTAACAAGCAAGAGTTTGACAGCAAACATCAGAAATTTGTCCTTTTTGAAATTATAAATTATAGGGTGATATTTAACAGACAAAAAACATTTTTGTATCATAGCTATGAACAAAGTGTAAACAAAAGTATAGGTCTAAACAAAGTGGCAACAGCCAAAAAGTAGAACATTTCAATAAAAAAACAGGTAATCCAATAAGTAATGGATCGCAATTCCAGCATCCAATCTGGAGTCTCTTTGTCTGAGAATAACACAAGACAGATTAAGACCAGTTCCGAGACGAGACCGTGACCTTCATCTTACTGCGACATTGGTATCGGCAGCAGGCAGTAATGAGCAGCAGCGGTAACGTTGCGGTAACGTTATAAGCGAGTAAGCAGCACAGTGGCCAGCAGGAACAGTGAAACAGAGATATACACTATTAAAAATAGGTAAATAAATGAAGAGCTAGAAAGTCAATGAGCTCGGCTTGAGCCAGTGCTCCTCAATTTATGCATTTTGAGTGGCGGAGGCCGATAGCGGATGGATTATCAGGTTTACTCGAGCCAGCTGATCGATAGGAAACAGATTGGAGCGTTATCTCGGACAAAACGGACTTAAAATAAGGATGGACTGTTGACGCACCGGCTGAGCTAAAGTTGTAGCCTCACATGCTACCTTGGCATCAGGGGTTAACGTCAGATAGCCCGGCTGCCACGTGGAAGGGCATTTTTTGGGCATGGGTCAGTGGCAACAACTTTATTGTGAAAGTGGCATTTAATTGGAAAAGGGACTTACTTTGACTTCTTCCTGTAGTTTTCCAAATCGTATCGTGCCATTCAGGATCCTGCTGACGAATCCCTGCTTTTCCTGCTGAAGAACTGAAGTCTGGGGAGGAGGAGAAGGACAGGGGGTTACTGATCTAAGGGGGGAGGTGGAACACACAATTTGAACAAGGAAGTAAGGGATGACGAGAGAGGTGATACAGGAAATGAACGACAGATGGGTGAAACTGTTGCCTGATAACAGTAGACCAGTGTGAAAACACTGAGACAAAATATCTTTTTTAGTTTTATATAACAATCAAAGTGCTGAACTGCTCTAAATGTATTATTTTTTTCGGTGGATTTGAATAGATCTTCTCAATAACCAAGTTTCCCATCTTGGACAAATTCATCCAAAACATATTTTTTAAAGACTTCCTTGATCAAAAACCCAAAATTTAGTGTGCCTAGACTTAGATAATGTCTTTGATATTAACATAAATGGAGTCATCTTGAGGGTCACATGGAGACATTAATGCAACTAAAAGCTGAGGCAGTCTTCGTTAAATCTGCTCCTAGAAACAGCTCTGATGTGTTCCTGCCCCCACGCAGCCAATAACCAAAGACATTCTACTGTACTAAATTGGTTCTTGTTAGTTTAAAACCCGCTACTTCTGAAATGTGTTTAGTCTGACCTCCCACGCATGATGATCTCTGACTATTTCTCTGAAAGGCGGGTCCCTGAACCTTTCACACACTCAGCCAACTGAGCCACGTTCTTTTTGTTGGATTAGCTTTATTTTGGGGGGTTTTATATGGCTCTCAACATATATTCTATGATGTTTTATTTCAAAATAAAAATCTATTTCAGTTAAGTATCAAAGCTCTGAAAGAGTCTTGTTGTTATTCCTCCGACAGTGAGAGAATTACACGTTCTTTCTGAACTTCATGCTTGATCATTTCCAGCTGAGAAACAGAACAATCCACTAACTAGAAAAGTGCAGTTCGGTTGAACCCAGGTTAAGAACCACTGGGCTGAATTCTCCTTCACATCTTTACTTGACATTGTGACCTTTTTGTGATCAAGGTCAAGGGAAAGCGGTTAAGAAAAGACACAGGACGTCATTTCTTATGGCTGTTGGACTGAAGCACTGGACCCTGCACCCAGCTCCCCTAAACGGTCATCAATTAAACCCAATTGTCTCCTGCTATGACACGTCAAAATGCTTGCCTGCAGGAAGGGTCCATTCCAAGTACCGTGAGTTAATTCAGTGGAATGTTTAATCAGTCACACACATCATATTCCCCGGCGTTATTTTATCAGCATCACCCCCACATCTCGCAGCTGTGCAGACATGGAGAGGGCGCCTGAGGTGGTAAGCAAACTGCCCTGATTGATAAATGACCCTGTTTGATAAATGACAAATGCAGCAAATAAAAGACTCCTTGCACCAAAAACCAAAGGTTCCCGAAATCTGCCCTTTGGCTTTTCTGCCTCTGCTGGGAACGTACTGCAGGGCTGCTGCGGATATGGAGCAATACAGCTTTAGTTGTTATTTTACTATATGTTCATATAAAATACTGCAACACATACTGAAAGTATTCCATACGTATAATAACATAACTTGGTATAAAATCGTAGAGTAGAATATATAATGGGATCTAAAGCATTAAGGGAAATGCCTACACTTACCATTATGTTCTATATCCCATACTACATTACATACATTATTTAAGGTATTATATTCATAATTAATACAGACAAAGCCTAAGTATCATTACTTAATCATTTTACGTACTATTCTGGAGCACACAGTTAATGATATCATATCACTCTTGCATAATATATTTTGCTGACTTAGCGTCCTCACACCACTATGTCATTTCCCCTGAGACAGTACTGCACTGCTGCACATTACTTTAAGTACAACACTGGGTACTGTATGTACACGGCTTGCCTTGCAATTTTGAGTTAAATGCTGGACCGGATTTAGCCCGCGGGCCGCGAGTTTGACATATGTGCACTAGTGTGTCAGTAGTACTGCTACTCTACGTGATGCATGTGTACCATGTGACATACAAAAGCTTTCATCACTACCAGTCGCATTGGAAGTACCATTTGCAATAGTTGGTCCCTCTGTAGGGAAATGTGGCCGGCCACAGAAAGGACAGCTCCCATGTAATGCCGGGTCTTTTCCTCTTTCAACACGCACTCTTCCTTCTCTCTCTTCAAGACACTCACCCTCCTTTCAGCTTTCCTGCATGACGAAGAGACAAAGGAGAAGAGCATAATGAGACACAATTAAAGAAAATAGATGGGGGAGAGAAAAGCAATGAGACAGAAAGGAAAATGAGTTTGGTAAAAATAGGAGGACTAATAAAATGGAGAAGGGAAGATATTTCAAACCGAATATAGGAGAGTGGCTCGGAGGTTATGGGGGAGAGAAGGGGGAGATAAAACAGTTGGAGAAGGAATAGAGAGAGCTAACTGGATGCTGTCTTGAGACCCTGCTGACATGATGCGAGCGGGCTGAGGATCCTGTTGGCTAATCAAACACCTCCTGACAATCTTCTCACTTCCGAATGAGAAAGTCCACCGTAATCTCAGATCAGGTCCCCGGGGAGCACAGGAGGATGGCAGACCAGAACACATTTTAAAACAGCTGTAATCCCCTGAAAATAATCCCCAAATACATTTTGTACTGAGAATAACCTGATCCGCACTATGGTAAGATGTGAAATACTGTTGAAAAGTCACTCTGGTAACGTCCTTTTATGTCTGCACGGATTGTTAAATAACTATCTCGCGCTTGATTCTTCTTTTTGGATGATGACATTTTTTTTTTTCAAACATGGCAAAAAACAGTCTCTGATCATTCTTCTATGGATCACATCGCTGACCTTTCCAACAACCAGAAATCAAGCTACCAGCACAAATATCACTTCAGTATTAACTGGGTGAGCTAATTGGTGATTAGATTTAAGGAGAACTTCATGTTGTTGGTTTTTGTCTTTTGTTAGTTCAATTAAACTCTCTGGTTTAGACCCTTGACACAATTATTATTCAAGAATGTAATATCATCATTATAGGCCCGTATTTTATTCACGCTGACTGCACCTTTGTCGAGGAAGTCGGGCAGTCGGATGTGAGGTCACTAAGCTACAGGCACTAATTAGAATAATTGAGGTGTAAGCTTTGCTTTCTAATAGATGCAACCATGTAAACTCTGAAGCCTCAATCTAGCGAAATGAGAAAAAACACCTGTGTGGGTGGATAATGGCTGTGAAGGGGCTTTAAATAATCACATGTACACTAAAATATGAACGGCTTATGAACAGTTTATCGGCGTTATAAGACTTTTCATGATTTTCAATGCCAATGATATTAGCTACACGAGTATTGAGGGCAAACGTTAGTCTCATCAGCAGTATTAGTATAGCAATATTAACAGGGGCAGTAGCAGCACACAGCGTAAAAAGAACGTGTCTATATTTGTGCGGGTAGAAGTATATTTAGTACCTGTTGGCTTGTTTGGTGAGGTCCTGCTCAGCCTCCAATCTCATTTTGTCAGCACTCAGGTTGGCCTTGTCCAGAGCCAGACGCCTGTTCTCCTCTTGCAGGCTGGACAATCTGAGATGTAAATCGTCCGTCTCACTCCTATTTCTAATCTCCTGCTGCTCCAACTGTCTGAGAGCCAAGAGCAGATTGTACAGCACATTACACCAGAATATCCAGCTTCTTGGTGACCATCATTTTACATCACTTTTAAATTCCCTTTTTTCAGTCCTACGTGTCTTGATTGACTTGTGAAAATCAGGCTTATTTTTGAACCTCTATCAATATAACAGAAGTAATTACAGAAAGGATTCTGTAGGACGTTTGTCACATCCCAAAGCCCCTGTCTGCAGCAATTACCCATGCAATGCTTCGGGTGCTACTCGTTTGTTGGTCCTGTGTATTCTACAAAACTATTTTAAACAAAGTAGATAATTAAACCTTTTGGGAAGAAGACACAGCTCTGGCCTTTGGCCTTCAGGCCAACATGGAGGGCTGTGTACATTCTTCATTAACACATGTTGCAATGTGCGTCACTAACAAAAAACTACTGAAAATGAAAAGAACTGTTAAGAAGCAGCGCCGTTTGTTTTTCCAGCGATAAAATGAGACATTGCAGCCGTACCGTCTAAGTTTGCTGTCCATGCTGCAGTGCTCGTCCCAGGTGACGGCGTCCTTGAGGCGGCTCTGCAGCACTTGTACTTCCCTTACGTGCTTCTGTAACTCTCTCCTGCTCTCTTCCAGGTCCTCCTGCAAACGCTGCCTTTCTGCCTCCAACAGCATCAGCTGCTTAGACACCTTGGTAACTACAGTGAGGGGGACAAGAAGCAGGACTGTGTTTATACGCCACACTGACCACATGAATCATACGCTGGATGGCCTCCTTTTCCCCATTAAAATAGCTATATGAGCAGTTTATGTTCTAAAGTACTAAGTACGTTCTAATTGCAATTTGAAGCTTTCTAAGATATAAAATAAACATTATAAGAAAAGAAAACACTGAAGAATTATTTCTGAAATCAGATCAGTTACTTCTTCACCAAACCATTTTTTGTAATAACTGTTGAAACGCACACAACATCAGCCGCGGGATGCAGGTTTGTGGCACTTTGCAGCGCGTCCGCTCGGAGACACCCACGCAATTGGCAAGGAAGTACGGCTTTGAGGTAGTCGTTATACCTTCAGAATGGTGTCTGCTGTGGCTGGCCTTGGCTTTAACGTGCTGAGCCTCGAGCTGATCAATCAGAACCTGGTTCTCTTGCAATACCAGGAGGGCCTGTTCTTGTAGCTGATGACTGAAGGGAAGCGAGATAGAGAGAGAAGGAGAGAAATAGTATGTCCATAGCACGTAGATGCCATTATATGTAATATTGTCTTAAAACATACGCATTAATTCATTGACGCGGACAACTATGCACTACATCATTTTTCAAAATCATACACATGCACAGAGATCGTATTTCCTCTTACCAGTTCTTCTTGCTGACCCCTTCGATCTTTGCAATTTCAACATGGAGTTTTTCATTTTCTTTGATTACATCCTCTACATGAACCCGCAACCTCTTCACCTCCTCCTGTGGCAAGCAGACAAAGACACATATGGATCTCTGAGCCAAAACAAACATCGAAAAAGAAAATCCTTCTTTCTTCCAAGACAAAAGCCTTTATAGCAACTACAGCTGGGTGCACCAGTTGTCCGGGGTCATGAGCCATAAAGAGAGATAAGCCTTTAAGCCAGGTGTCTTTTAGATTAGATTAGAAAACTTCATAAATCCCCAGTAGTAGAACTCCAACAAAAAACAATAGACTAGATTCTACGGTGCACAACAAACAGAAAACACGTTAAAACGAATGAATTACACCATAAAAGGGCCTTTGAGCGACGAATAAAGAAGAAAGATGCTAACTCAAAAACACACATCTAAAAGGCTTCATTATTGGATTGGTTCTTCTGAACAATCAGCTGACTGGGAAGTAATTTTTGCAAAATGATCATTGTTAATTAATAATTGACAATGGACATGCAAACTTATACCCTCTGATGTTTTATTACTATGCAAACATTCCACACAGCTATCAGGAGGCCTCGCTGGTTATAAAAGTAAATAAAAGCATTTCAGTCAGGTACATATGTGATTTGCATGTTTTCATCCCATGGATTACATACAATATCCAATGCAGCACATTAACTGTTTGCTGCTAAAGATCAGATGACAACAATAAGAAACACACGTTCAGTTTCCCTCACGTACACTTTACCTCTGTGGTTTGCAGAAGTGCATCCTTCTCGTTTATCCTGTCTTCATAGGCCAGCACCAAAGGAGATAAATACTTCATGTCAAGCTAAAAAAAGAAAGAATAAGCACAGAGAAATGACCCAACCAAAAATCTGAACCACACAAGGTGCAAGTGGCTTTACATTATTTTACGCAGCAGGACTCAAGTAGCTGTGGACGCGCAGTGACAAGGTTGGCTATCTGCTTTGGCCATTTGAGAGGCAAAAAATCCCTCTCTTCCTTCTGCATCTTTTTAGTGATGCTGAGCAACTGACCAATCGGGCCCCTTTGAGGATATGACCTTCTTAGTTTTTAATTAATTGTATTATAATATATAAACTCTATAAAAATGTGTTTTTATTTATAAGATAAGTACATATCACTTTAACTCTTCCACCACTTCTATTATATTTTGCAAACGTATTTTCAGGTAGATTTACTTTAAATATTAAAATTGAAGCTGAGAACAGTGCAAAAACCTGCATTTCCACATTTAACAGGACGTTTTTAAACATTTTTTTCTGTGTCTTTTTAGCTTTTGATACTGCGCGTCTTGCTATCTCCCTCTCCCTTTTCTTCTCTCTCTCCTTCTCTCTCTTTCTCTCCCTTTCTGTCTCTTTGCTGCGCTTGTCCGCTTGTAACCTGAGCCGCTCTGGGGGGTCGTGGTGATGAACTCCTCTATCGGCCCGCCGCGGCCCCCCGTTTGGGAACCACTGGACTTTAGCTCATTTGGACTACTAACCAGCCCTGCCTGCCATATATAAGTAATGCACTGCACAGCTATGTAAAGATACTCACCAGCCAGGGAGGGGGAGACCCCGTCTTTGGTAAGCCGCTGATTCTTGAGCTCTGGATGAAACGCAGTAAGAAAGTTAGTCACCATACCACCAGAACTCTGGTGGAGGTGGCAGCTTTTTAAATGTTGTGCTTCCCACACATTACGTAGTTTGCTTAAATAGTGATGGAGAATTAAAGTCTGCTGCTACATACGGACAGGTGCTCGGGGAATTTACCATGGGAGCCAAACCAATGTATTCTATAGAAAAGAACATTATAGTTTAAAAAAGGGAATAATCATCAAATGTTAATGGGATCTATAGAGGTGTCTCTTATTATTATTCTGCTACCAAACTACTTCCTAATGTTTTCCTTTATCTCTTCCTTTCACCAGCTGTAATGAGGGTTAGCAGAGAAGCAAACTGGTGGTGCTGTGAGCAGAGAACTCTTGTTGTGAAGAGACAGCATGAGGGAGCCATGATTAAAGCCACAGACACAATCATTTCAGGATGGACGGGAACAGGTCACTCGTTTAGTGCAACAAATCAGATAGACGGACAGACAAAAATAAGACATATTTAGCTCAGCGGGATTTAGATCAAAGGCAGATTTCTATCATGAAGGCTTGCTGGGAAAATATAAGGAGGTACCGGTCATGGATTTGGTATAAACGCTGATTAAATTACAGTGAGGGGAGAGGATTGTGTTACAGAACAAAACAGACTACACGGCGGTGAAGAGAGCAGAAGAGTACACTAGAACAGATACCCCTGGTTTTATTTAATTCTGGCAATGGAAGCTGGAGTGATGGAAGCTGATTGATGACAGGAAGGGCCTCGGTGTGATTAGGAGCCGTTCTACATGTAAGCTTTTTAATGGCTGCATTAACCTTCTACCACGAGTCGCTGGTGCCAGGCTTGAGCCCAGACCTAGTTCACAAGGCCAACATTAAGGTTGCAGAACAGCAGAAGTGGTGCAGTGATACCTCCTGTTTGGACAGTGGTCTGAAGAGGGTTTGGTAGCGGCTGAGCTCCACATTCAGACGGTGAACTGTCATTTTGAGGGCGTCATTTTCATCCACCAGCTCCTGAGCCTGTCGCCTCAGATTCAGTAGCTCCGCCTGGCCGCCTGTAAGCACAGCAGAGCCGCCTCAACACATTTTTAAGACGTATACAAGTGTAGTTTCAGGAAGAAGGAAAAGGAGGGCGAGAGAGCTCAAGACAATTATCGGGTGATTTGCAAGTTTTGGTCTTTCGTCCATATGGATGTGACTCTGCTGACTGACCCTGAACCCCCCTCAGGGAATGATAAAGAGAAAATAATGAATGCTTCGCTCACAGAGGAGGAATAGTACTTTTCCAAGGTTCATCTCTCTGTAAACAGGGAGGTCGGAGTCTCTAACCACCTCTCCATTCAAACTTCTAATTCTCCATCCTCGTCTGAACTATTTATGTTTTTTTGTGTCTGTACTCCCTCGCACTCTTCTTCTCATCATTCTGAGGAGCTCAAGTGGTCAGATCTACTTCCAGTCTCCCTCCTCCCTGTTGCATTCACTGTTTGACTCCCTCTCCCTTCCTCCCTTTCCCCCCCCCGTTACTCCCTATTCCACTCTATTGATTCTCCTCCTCCCTCACCACGTCCTCCTCTTTCCGTCCCTCTGTACGTCTTCGGCAGCTCGTCCACTCTACCTGCAGATGACCTCGGGTTAGAGGAGGCTCGGCTCTGACTGATCTCCTGTTCCAGCCGATGCAGCCTCTCTTCCAGCAGCTTTTGGTCATCTAGCATCCTTGTGTCCCTCACTGGTACGCCCCACGCCGCCTCCCTCTGCACCTCCTCGCATGCCTTGCTGAGCTTTGGAGACGGCTGGTTCGGGTGTTTTGGGCTTTTGGCCAGGCGAGGTTGGTCGGGTGTTACGATGGGCGGCTCGGCTGTAATATGGAGGGTCAATACTTAGACAGGTAGTACACAAACATATTCTCAATGGAATAAAATAAAAATTAAGTGTGTCTAACATCGACAAAGAAATGCTGGTATGAGGCAGAAGATTTCTTCAACTGTTTTATATTTAAGTAATCCGACAGTCACTTCAGTGACTGTAACTATATACTAACTGTATAAAAAGACACCATAAACATTCGTAATAACCGAACCAACAGAGGTCATGCTGTAACATGACATGCTAAAAAAAATCAAAGATGTTTAGAATGTTCTGCAAATCAAAAACTGAGTGTGACTTTCACCCACATGGCACATCTCCGCGCCTTGCAGGGCTCTTCCTGGCAGAGGCTTTGTTTTCTGCAGACTCGCAGCTTTCTCCGGGACAATGGACACCGGTTTCCTCTGGAAGATCTGAGAAGTCTGAAACAAGGGGATATTTCATGGTGAATCACTGCTAGATAACCAAAATAATGCCACTGTTAAATGCATGCGATGCCAGAAGAAGTGAACATAGAACACAGATTCCTGTGTGCTTAACTATATAACCCAATCAAATGCATATTGCTCTGTAAAAGTGACTTTCCACATTACTTTAATGTGTTACTTTAGAAGACAGCCAGCCTGTGTGTAGCATCGACAATTTAGTTGGTAAAAGTAGGAGCATTTTAGGCAGATTTTAATTTAGCACAGAGAGAAGCCTAAGGCCAGCTTTGGTAACAATAACTGTATAATGAGGCATTCCATTCTGCTTTCAATTATGTAAGGTGCGTCATGTCGGCTGTGAAACAACATTCTGGTTGAGTAAGGATTTTATCTTGGTCGTCCTGTAAAGCCTGACGAGGAGTCGGATGAAGGGAAGGCGGGTAACCACTTTTCTTTTTCTTTGTATGGGAGAAAATTCTGAAATCCAATTTCAGATTTATAAATCTGTACACATTATATTACATTACTGTATTACATGAATTGCTTGTATAAGGTTCCTGCTTCATTTGCTACATAATTGGAGTTTGCATTCCAACTACTCTGTTTATTGACCAATAAATATGCCAAGATCTATTTGTCAGATGCACAAAAATGTGTCATCTATTCCAAACCAACTGATTGGAAATCTACAGTATGTAGACATTGACATCTGACGTTGTTTCATTGTCCTGTAAGGTTAAAGCCAGGGAGAATGTCGGTACATTGGATTGCCTAATTAAACTATACTCATCATTAGTTCTTATTATAGCTCAGCTGACAAATTATGAGTAATTACCTGGAGAAGGCGCTCTTCTGCTCGACATCTGAATGAGCTGGGGTGCACAGGCCTGAGAGACAGACGAGTCAAACTAAAAGACCAGTAGAGAGAGACAGTAAGTCTTCTCAAAGAGACACAGTAAGGTCGCGTGAATGAGTCATAGCAGGGAGCCTTGTGTGGAGGAGAGTGACAGCTGAAACAGAAGAGCCAGAAGGATGCAGAGAAAGAAAGAAAGAAATCCAAATGTGGCAGAGGGAACGATGTAATCTGCTGATTCGCTCAAAGCACAATACCCAAATAATTAACAAAAAAGCTAGCCCCTAGGGCGGCGCCCAGGGGGCATCCTCACCAGATGCCCAAACCACCTCAACTGGCTCCTTTCAACGCAAAAACGAAGGTGCGGTAAAGCGAGTGCAATACCGCCCCCGCTACTCCGAGACAAACTCACACTCCAGCATCCCCTCACTCGTGAACAAGACCCCGAGGTACTTGAACTCCTTCACTTGGGGTAAGGACCCCAATTACATTCATTACAACAGTAGTGCAATATTAAAGCTATGTTTAGAAAAATGATTCAGATTCCACTGTACGGTCACATTACAGGGATGCGATGACGTTACCTTCCTTGATACAAATGGAATAATAATAATAATAATAGAATCCCCAGTTAGTCCGGGTCCTCATCTGAGATTACAGTACATGGGAAAGAAACATCCTCTGTAGGATGAGGTTTAATAAATAACAAAGCAGGCAACTAACTATGGGAAACAGAGCGCAGTGGGACCATTATAGTTTAGCAAGCCAATGTGACGTGAATAGAAAAGAAATATACACTGTGAGAGCAGACTCTTGGGATATAACCATGGGAAGATGGGCAAGAAATCTGCCGGGAAAAGAGTTATGAGCAGGTAAAGCGATAATTTTTAGGTTTGTACATCTTGTAAGTTACCATAAATTACTATAATTAGTCAGTTTTTAGTGTAAGTTGCCGGGTTAAGTGTTCAGGGGTCAGGAAGAAGTATCAGCAAATGAATAAAAACCAACCAAAGGTAGGAGACCTGCAATGGCACAACAAAAGAGCTTTACAGAAGAAAAATAGCCATAAGTGAATAAGGTACATTGAAAGGATATCTAGAGAATCTCTGGAGTGCTAAAAATCATCAGTGAGGAGAGTCAAAAACCTGGGGAAATAAACTTTCCAAATCCTCAATAGACGATGTTCCCTTTATTATGTGTAAAACGGTGCCTCTCAGTGGATAACACTTGTAACACAATACCCACAAAACCTGAAGTATAAGAGTATTTGGAAAGGGATCATTATCTTCTCCTAATGCAAATATTAAAACACAGAAATTGGCACTTGTCATTGCAGGAAAGGTGCAGTGTTATGAGGACGTAATAGGTCTCAATCAAATGCATACAACAGTATGCACTTCATGAAGGCAGCTGCAGTGTGTAGTAAAAGTACACAGAAATAATATACAATTTGGAACGCAGCTTGACATAAAATTAGTCTACGGGCTCCTTTCAAGGCCGCCATTTAAAAATGGCATTGCAAGCTAATCATGCAGCCGTTATCCGTACAGACCATGAAGGGTCTAGCTAGCCCTCTGCTGGACACTGCTGGAGGATAACCCATTTTCTTAAATCAGTTATTTATGGTGAGAAGAAGGTTGTCCTCAGTTGGTTTGCTTCCTTTGAATGGGTTTGTACTGTAGAGTCTCACCTTTGGTTTTAGAGGCACAGAATAGATGGGATCTGTGATTGAACAATTCTCCTCTCTAGCAACAGTTTGGTAAAGATGTTCCTCCCTTTCTTTTTCACTCTCCTCCTCCTCTTCGTTGTCTTCCAACTCCTCCTCTGAGTGGTCAGGGGAGGACAGGCGCGGTCGGCTGCTCAGATCCTCTGACCATCTGTCTCTGAGGAAGGATTAGAAGCAATATCACTATCTGGAGACAAAACTATGGAATTCAGCTATCAATAATTGTAGTAGTTAGTTAAGCTTACCAGACTGTGGTGTATGTAAATGTTTTCTTTTGAAAAACAAAAATAGAGAATTATAATAATTAAGTCACTACAGTTATAGATGGCTTCTTGAGATGGAAATTAACTACCCGTATTCTAAAAACTCTTTCATTTTAAAGGTCCCATTTTACAGACATATATTTTGCTCAATTTCTCTAAAATTCCATATTTGTGGAAGCTTAAGTCATCTACTGCTATTCCTTAAAGTAGGCTAAATTTCGTACCACTTTGTCCTATTTTTTTCTGTGACACACTTGATGAATACAGCCCCAGATACGGTTTAAACTTAGAGGGTCACCTCTTGTAATTAGAATAATGGGTCACAAAGCTAATACTGATGTATGTGCCGGAGGGAGTTTACCTGTTGAAAAGTTCTGGGCTGACGTTTGGTTCAGATATGAAGGACTCTGATCGGCCACTCTGCGAGTAGGACCTGGGCCGTAAGGGGGGGAGGGCCCATGTCTGTCCAGTGAGCGATGAAGTCAAGATGGCTGCTGCTAAGGCCGATCTGTGGATGGAAATACATCGTTCACAGGAGGAGAAACGGATACTTTGTGTAATATAACGTTAAGCGCGTTAACAATGCTGCTAATAAACATAAAAATATACAGTTATGCTTTATTATGTATAATGGATACATTGTTATGTAAATGTGGGTGATGAAGCTTAGTGGTGAATAGATTGATAAGGGAACACTTCTGAGTTGCGGTGACAACATCAGTGGAAGGAAGCTGACCAAACTATTTTAACACATTTCAATAATAAGGTAATGTTTAAGAACAGCACAAAATTGTGCACAGGCTGCTGGTGCACACATGCACATGTTTGCAAAGCAAGATCGACACAGATGCATCAAACACAAGTACAATTTGATTTTAGTTTCATCTCAAAGTAGGCAAAAGGATCTGTGATGAATCACGAGATGACGTGATTTACATTTGAAGGAAATGAAAGGATGGAGGTTGTTGGGTACCTGGGCCTCTCGGGGGAGGGGTGGGGGCTGCGCGGGGGCGGGGTGCGAGGCACAGCAGCCTTGGGGGCAACGGAGGCAGCGGGGACCAAACCATGGGCGATATGCTTCTACACGCCACGCACAAGGAAGGGTCAGGGAGAGCGTTGGGGGTCACACGGACGGATGTTAACACACACGCATCGCGGTTGCTATGACGATGCTTGAGGAGGGTTTCGGTGTGTAACGCAGCATGAAATCACGTCCACGATGACGCAAAACAAAGAGACTGACGTTAAGCGGGTGGAAAGTAGAATTACCGAATGGTCCCGAATACGAGACACTGAAGTATTCAAACAGCCTGTTGCATTGGACACGCTGTGTCCAGTATGTAGCAGTCATCGTACAATGGCTGCCTTTCCAAATAAACCCTTCATTTTACTCGCTGTATTAATGTTGGTCAACAATATGAATACAATTAGCGTTGCATCACTTTGAGGTTACAAAGCGTTATCAATGCTGAACAACTTCTGCTAATGTTAACTGGATAACCGAAGTTACACAAACAGGTAACGTTAGCTAATGTTAAATTAACGCCAATTGAGTGTTAATTTAACCAAATACAAAAAGGCATTTAGATTAGACGTTTAGCTAGCTAGCAAGACATTTAACACGGGGAATCGGTTTCATAAAAGACGTGAAACTTACAAAATCGTTGTCTTTCTCCCTCCTGAAATTGAATTTGAACATAGTGCAAATACTTGCGGGACCCTTTCTTCAGTGACGTTAGCTAAAGTTACGTTTCAGTTTTAGAGAACCGCTATTTTACAACATTATTCGAGTAAAATAGCATAATAAAAGGTTTTATGTTATTGTGTTACTAATTATCTATCCTCTTTTCCACTAAAACGATGTTGAAAAACGACCAAGCTAGCGGTGTTCAACAGGCTGGATGTTTGCAGAAGATTTCTCATATCGAGACGCTTCGCCTGGAGACGCACCCTCCTACAAAGTGAGTGCTGACTGGTTGAAAGTAAGGAGCGGAGCCAATCAGTGGTTATTATGATTCACCTAGCAACGAGGTCCTTCCCGACCAGCAGCCAGGGCGACAGGGGGCGATGACGTTCCATGTAATAATCAACTGCCGCCTCCGGGCTTCACAGAAAGACGTGTGTAATTAATACAATATACAGAATACTCTAAAACGAATGTTTCTACCGAAGCGATTAATAAAGTGCGTTACCTCATATGACAAAGTTTGTCTTCCAGCCAGTCCTTTCTTAGTTAAATATACTAATATATATAAATAAATATCTGCATTTATATTATATAAATATATATATTAGATGGAATGCGACTCAAAAACAAACTTCAAGCAAACATGTCAGCCTTTTGACAATAAATCAGTAGTTGAGTGCTGACCTCTTATTGTTAAAACAAATGTTAATACAGCAAACTAATTTTCAAAGTTCAAAGCAATCAGCTCTTTCTTTTCTGACTAATCCCTACCACACACACAGATATGTGCCAGGCCATTGCCCCAAAACAAATGACTGGTATGGGTGAATACAGACGTGATGGGTAAAAGTTAATCACATTGTGTTTTTCTTCTGTTTCCATGAAGGCCGATTAGGAGGTCACGTGACCCCAGGCCAGACTCCCATCGGTTACAAACCCATGAGTGTTGATTTAGGGTGGCTCGCTGGGGCGGCGTTCAACTTTCATTCCAGTCATTCCCCAACTGCCTGGTAACTTTAACTCCGATAAAAAGAACCACAAATGTACAGGTACATTTAAAAAAAACAAAAAACAGGAAAATTTGTTCTGTCACCTTCTTTTATTGAGATTTGAGTTCATATATATGACAAAGACTTAGACATAGCATTCACACCACAGTTTCTATGCAGTACAAAGTTCAGGGAGAGAAGCAAAGGCAACCTGAAAGAAGAACAGGTAGCATGACCCTCTGCATAGAACAAGGCATTTAGGATCCATATGTACAAGAAATCCGCTGTAAGCGCTTATTATTATCAATGAAATTACAGCACTTTATTGTGACATTTTCCTTCATGAGTAAGCGTAAGGGCACTTTAGACACCACTTTAGCTGGACAAAGACAGTGTTACTGTTAAAAAATATTTACATTTTAAAATATCTTACCATAGACAAAATGTACCAGTATATATAGTTCACCCAAGGATTATGCAAGGCTAGTAAGATACATTCCTCCAAGAAACCAACCAAGAAACCAACCAAGAAATCCAACGTGCAAAAATTCACAACTTGACCATTCAAACTACTTCTGAAACCTACAACGTAAAATTATATATATAAAATATTTTTTGTGTGTATTTTTTTTATTACATAAATAATTTGATTATCAAATGTGTGTAAGAATCTACTTTGTAGATAAAGAGATAATCCAACACTGCAAAGTGTCAAACGTGGGACATGACTATGTTTAAGAGAATAGAGGCAATTAGCAGAAACCTGAATGTGGGCTTTGATCGAAGCTGCTGTTGGGTGACCGGCTATCAAGGCACGATGCAGGAATGTCATTGGTCTGCCCACATTCCTCCCTTCTGGAGATGTAATAACCTTTAAACTACATCAAGATTCACATTAAACACGGAGACACGCAGCTCCTCTTATGAAAGGACAAACTGTACTTTTTGAAGAGGGTCAGAACCAGGTACGAGGGGTGAGGATGGCAAAGGGCACACACACCCTGGCACGTTACAGATGTGGAGGCATTTTGGTCTGTGGCATAACTGGTACATCAAGCAAACCTAAAAACACCAATGATTCCAGTTATATTGCGTCCCAGGCATAGCACTTAGCAGAGACAATGCAAAAGTGACAATATTACAAGGTATGAAAAGATTGTTTTCTGTTTTTAGCAGCTTATCGAACTTTGCATTCATCAACTCTCCCTAGACAAAAAAACAACTGCACAGCACAATTGTTTTTTCTCCTCAAGGGACCAATATTCCCCACCATGGTTCAACTATCTATATATCTATTTTGTAAATGTATTCATGGCAAGCCCCAACACCGATCAGTATCCACAGATTATGCAAATATCATTGCAGTGACCTAATCCTTCACATATACCGTAAGAAACACAACCTTTTATGGAGGATACACAGAGAATTTAACTGCACGGTGCACAGCTACGTCAGTACGCAATGGAACTAACAAGGCGCCGCTTCAACCACAAAAAAATGACCCCCTTGAAACCAACGCCAGGTGTGTTTGTACAACTTTGTTTTTGCCTCCCTCAATTCATCTGGAGCTTTTCTTCCAAGAAAAAAGCCACTGAGATGACAGTTTAACTTAGTGCGCTGTGTGTGTGTGTTTATATATAGATATATATACATAGACTGGAATGATAACGAACACTTTTCTCACAGTGCAGTTGTACTGTGCTGTACGCATAATGGTGTTTTACAGAAGGGTTTCCCATCACGTTTGGTGTGCAGCCCAGTGTACTTCAGCTACTGAACTGCAGTCTAGGAAGGTTCCCATGTACCAGCAAAGGCACCTATGTACAGTATTCGGCAGGGCCACTTTCCAGGGTAGCTGGCAGAAATGTAATTTGCCCTGGTGACGTACAAGCTACATAGACTACTGCTCAGTATTCCAGTGGAAACACTAAAGGGAACTGCTACCGTATCGCAACAGGTACAACACAGCACTGTACAAAAGGCCATACTGGGCCTAATACGCATACTACACGATGCTTGCAGACTGTAGAGTCCGCAGCCAGTTCAGTAAAGTCCACTGTCGTTGTTGTAGGCGCTGGTGCTGGGGAACGAGGGACACGGTTTATTCCAGGGGAGGGTCCCGGATTGGTCCGATGTGGGGAGGCTGAGGGTGCTGGCGCTCTTAAGCCGGTTCTTCAGGCCAAAGCTGAGGAAGGATGACTTCTTGGTTACTTTGCGGGACTTCTTGTCGTCATCATTATAGGCCAGACAAATCATGGAGTAGGTCTTAGGCAGGTTTCCGCAGAAGGTGGCACTCTTGGTTGGCTGGAGAGCAAGAGATTGGGAGTGGAAGGGTTAGACTCCTGTACAGCCTTGATCAAAACATAGGAATGAAAGAATACTCAATAAATAAATAAATACAATAAATGAAATTGTACGCTCCCTCAAAGAGGCAATATGACATTCCAAGTGCGGCGTTTAGTCAGTTGACACAAAAACCAAATTTGCTGTCAATCATGAGAACCGAAGAGATGACGGTTTGTCCGAGCCGACGGGAAGGGAAACGGGAGTGGCTTACCATCTGAGGATTGCTGTCCATAATGCTGACAACCTGGATCTCAATCACCTCCTCGTTCACATCCTTCAGTAGCCGCATAACATCGCTCACACTCATCCACTTGCAATCGATGTCGCCCACAGCAACAATGTAGTCACCCTCTTTCAAACCGTCAGTCTGGAAAGACGAGGAAGCACAGGAGGAAGGGAGGAGACGTTTACAGCGTTTGCTCGGTCAACTTCACCTACTTTCCATCACCGGAGCAAGCCGGTATCAGTAGAGAAAACAGGTTCACTCGCTTACAAGTGCTTTTTATAGCAGGACCAACACTTGGTAGTGTGTGTGTGTGTGTTACTACAGCACTTTATTTCATAACTGTGGGAAATCCGTCTGATCTGCATGAGCTCAACTATTTCTGTCTGATAACGTGATCTGTGACCTCTAGAGGCAGATCCAGAAGTCTGTTCCAAAATAGATTTTGGTGAATTCAGTATTAAAAGTTATAAAAAGTTTGTCCTAGAGAGACTTATGTAATAGTACTAATCGGATTCTCTGAACAGCCTGCAGGGCCTCATAACAGTCTGCTCTTTGTCAACACCTCTCAATGAGCCGTCGCACTAAAAAGGATTGCTGGCACTAATCACTCTCTGAATCTTAATTAAATTAGAAGCCAGAGTGACTGTTTAAGGGGGGGGGGTCTCAGAACAACGTTAAATCAAGCCAAGGTTCTCAGAGCAGATCAGACATTTTTTAATTTGAACTAGAATATTCAGGGCGCCAGCAGGAACATTTAGTTCCCCCACCTCAAACAAAGTCACTTCGCGCTAGTTAATCCTGTTGCAGGGAGTTAATATTGATCCACTGGGGCGCTTCTTTAAAATTCTACTTGACAGCATTTTAGATCAGTCATGAAGATGGCCCTTGAAATATAGTTTTTTATTCATCTTTTTTTTTCAAATGGATCGGTTTTCAATACACCATAGTGACATTGAAAATAAAGGCTGGCTGCAAATTAGGAGAGCGACCTTCCTGCTTTTCATCCGAAGTCAAGGAATCAAGGCAGACTTACAGCAGCGGGGCAGAGGGGGTCCAACGAAACCACCTGGACTGGGGATTCTCCTTTCAGGTTGAAGCCCAGTTCTGGGTCTTTTGGGAGAATTTTTATTGTCCGTGGGGGCGTCCACCGCTGTTTGGCTGAGAAAACTGAAAGCGGGCCCTGAATGGAGACAGCGTGGACATGCTGGAGTCAATAACAACACATTACGATAACAACCGTTTGTTGACGTACTGTTTTACGTCTGTTCATGACATGATTCTCCCACATACGCTGCAAAAAAGTTAAAGCGACAGCCGGACGTAGAAACAAACACTTGTTTGTCACCAATGTCTAAACTAATGACATAGGAGTCTATAATGGACTGTTTAAACATCTTAAGACTGTATTTAAGAGTCCACACAGGAAGTGTCTCTGACCCGGAGAGGCCATAGCTGGCTCATGAACACATCTGATGGAATGTTGTGCTTATCTCAGAAAATGCAATCCTTCACTCCGCGTCATCTCCGTAAAGGGTGCGTACAACATTTTAAGCCGTGTTGCTTCTTTCCACTTAGTAGTAGTACCTTTCCTTCTTTACAGTTATGGCTAAACGACAGGACTATGGTTGTAATTATTAATTCATTCCATTCAATGTTTTGTGTAAAAACGTATTTTGTATTGACACATATACATTAAATAATCTACCTGCTGCCATTAATAAGGTCTTAGTCTTTTTAATTTAGCGTGGCTCCTATAAAGTAAGCAGTCACTTAAACAAGACACTCAGATCCCAAAAGGCCAAGAACTTCCCCATAGAAACCAATTCAAACCATAATTTCCAGTATATGATACAATGCATCCAAACCAGTGCTGCTACTTATCATTAACATATACACATAAAAGTACCCTCCAACATTTCATTTATTGTGTTTTTTTATTTCACATTCACTAAAATCCAGCATAGGTCTTCACCAGGTTGGATTTTACAACAGTACCCGGAGATACTTTTTAATAGACTCCATACATCACTTTTCTGGGAACGTCACCTCTTACCATTGACCTTCTTACTCATCATTTGCATCCACGGTTTTCCTATCTTGAAATTAAAGCCTGCTTTTTTGTAGTAGTAATTGTTACTGCACTACAAAAAAAATAATAGAAAATGCCCTTTTCAGAGGACACAAACCCGCAGATTGCAGTCATAGTGACCTCTCGCAGCCACCACCATGAGAATAAAGCAAGGGCCCGAGCCCCTCAGTCCATAGTTAGTGTTAGTTTTGCATTTGTTGCTATGGATGAAAGTCCAGGAGGCTTTGATCACACTTTGGATTTGCTCCTTCTGAAATGTGCCAAAGCTTCCAGGAGGCTCACCCGGGGTTGGTTGTGTTCAGAAATGACACCAAAAAAACACTCTGGGTGTTAAAAGAATTAACACAATTAACACAAGTACCAACATCTAAAAACACAAATCCAGAGCCATTTCATGTCACTTAAGAAATAAACCGACGTGAAAAACCGTAATGTCAGTGGAAGATTATTAGTAACCCACATACCAGCCTCTGGAAGAAGTCTGTGACTTTCACCTTTGTGGTTGCAGGAACCTCCATCTCCGCTTTGTGTTCTGTTTTAGCTGCAAAACGAAGGGAGAAAAAAAACCACAGCTGTCATTCTACACTGTTTACTGTCGCAACCACATTTCACCTGGCGCCACGTAGAGAGAGGCGGGCGGGGAGTTAGCAGTGTAAACATTACATCACCTGTGAAAGAAATGACACTTATCTCGGCTGATTGCAGCAGGTGTGGTACAAAACACTGCAGCCTTTTTTTTGCGTTTCCTGAGAGACGGACCTCTCAAATGAACACATTGGGCCTGCTTGACATTGGCGTTTGTTTGTTGTGGTGACACTGAGGTTAGTTGGTTTCCATGTCAACCATGGTCACCTCGGAGACTGAAATAAACTCTACAATTGTTCCAATTCTCCTCATTTGAAAACATCCAAGACTCACAGATGATGTCCGGAGCCTCCGTGTAGTCAGTGAACTCCTCCTCGTCCTCGTTCTCGCTGCACTTGTTGACCGAGCGCTGGTGACTGGCTGTCAAAATGTCCTGCAGGATCTCCAGCTTGTTCAAGTGATGGCACAAACTGTAGATCCTTAGAGCCTCCTCGTGACCCAGTATGGCACGACGAATGTGTGCTTTACCTGCAGGGTATGAGGAGAAGTGGATAAGGAAGAGGAAATGAGAATAGGAGGAGGAAAAGAAGAAGGTCAGAGATGAAAAGGGGGAATGTCAGTTCTGGTGTAATTGGAGGTTATTTGCAATCCTATTTATTTTCATCTGTGCTCGCTCTTACCGATGCGTTCGCGCTCATCTTTCTTTTTGAGGATTTCAAGAGGAGAGCGTCCCTCAGGAAGGCGATCATAGACCTGGGACAACGTCTTCTCCTGCTGATCCTCATCGTCACTGAGACCCACTGAACGCAGAGAGACAGAATCAATGTCAACACGACTAGAAAACTTACTGAAGCGCTCTCTACCACCGCGATGGCCTGAAAACAAATGGCCGACACTCTTGAATGGCACAATGCAATGCAGGACTGCTTTGCAGTTAATCTGTTCACTACAGAAATCTTATTACACTCTGTCCCGCTCGTGGGCCGAGTCCCGTCTCCAACGGTTAATTGCTCTATTCTCCTCATTTGCACAGGAATCTGTTAATGAGCTGCAAAACTGAAAAGGCGCTCCGCTCCGTTGTTCCTTCATTCACTGCTGCTGCATTCATAGCACTGGCTAAAACTATGACCGTCCACTGCAAACTTGACATAATCTGCTCTATTTCGTTTCATTTGGTTTTCAGTTGAATATAGTGCATTTGGTAAATTTGGTAAGGAAGTAAAATGAGAAACTAAAAAAAAATAATGGCATGCCTTCAAGAAGTAAGGCCATATGACACTAAATTAGCAACAGCAAAGGGAGGGTTTCTTATTCCCTTACAAAAACATCCTTCACCTTGTCCCTCACTCAGTGGCTGGCCCGCTCTCCACTTAATTACACACAGCATTACGAGGCTACATAGCTGTAATCCTCCAGCGTGCTACAGTACAGCCACTCCATTTTAACTCACACAAACCATCGCTCTTTTTCCCCTCATTCACCCTCTCTGCCCATCCTGCCACCGCGTTCCTGGAAACTTGGCCTCCTTTTACCGTGTGCGTGTGTGCGTGTGTGCGTGTGCTTGCGTGCGCGTTTGTGTGCGCACGTCTCTAAATAGCGCTTATGTAATAGCATTGTGGCGGGCTGTGGTTCAGTCCAGTCATCTGATGTGACCAGCCCACTGCACTTTAGGAGAAGGATCAGGTTTTCCACTGTGTTTTAAAGTCTTATCACACCAATCCAGTTGTCCTACACCTCGGCAGTCGACAGCCAGGCTAATACAAAAGAACTGGTAGTTTCAGACTTGTTCAGTGGATGTGCAGACAGAGCATATTAGTGGATATAAACTGGATATAAACTCCACCTGTGTCGTTGTCAACCGAGATGAAGGCAATGTTTTCATTCGGGCCAACTTTTAGTTAGTAGCTATTGCATTTTCTAACACTTTTGTGTTACAGTAGGTCTGTGCAGAGCACACCTGGCTCTATCCTCATTGCAAAGACAGATTCTTTGCAATGCAGATGGAGACAGTCCTAAGACGACATCAGAAATAATAAAATCTTGCAATGCAGAATTACTAGCAAACATTGAATGCATGGTGACATGAACATATCTCAGGTTTTCTTACACTGGTGGTCCATGAGCGCTGAGGCCACAAAGTAGTGAGCCATGGAGCGGTAGTGGTTGGTTTTGACTTGCGACATGGTGGACCAGAAGAACGGAACATTGTCTTTGATTGGCGTCTGGATCATGGACTGGTGCACTTGGTCGTAGATTTCAGAGACCTGGCAGGAGAAGGTGGGTAGAGTTACTGAGAGGACTTTAAAAGCACCGATGAGAAGTAAGGAATCAGACTGCAGTGGCATTATTACTTTAAATTCCCTTTACAAAGCTCCACCTAAATGGTGTGAGTGCTGTGTGTGTGTCTTTGCTGTCTTTTACCTTAGCGGCCTCCTGGGCCATTTTCATGAGTGAATGGAACTCGTTTCGGATACCAGGAAGTGCAGTCTTCTCAAACAGGCACTCCTGAGCCTGAGCGAGCATCATCCGGATCAACATACTGAGCATGGCTGGGCTCATGTCGTAGCTGGGAGTGTGGGTGAATGTCTCCTTCAGGTGGTTCAGCATTCCTGGGGGAGGTCGAGAGGTAATTTGCTTAATGGGACTGCGCTGGCAAAGAATTTCAAACGTGTCCGTAAATAACAAAAGGCCCCTTCATGTAATCTCTGCAGAATATTTCATTTACAAACGACAATTTAACCTTCATTTCAGATTGCTTTCATGCATTCTGTCTGGCTCTTTATTATGAAACGTAGCCCCTTAACAAGTTACTCCAAAAGCGGTAGTTGGTTGTACAACCAGCAGCAGCACTAACTGTGGAGTTAAGGGTTTGGGTGATAGTGAATATTCATGGACATAGTTAACTCGTCCATAGAATGAGTTCAGTATGCTGCTACATTAACGTAATTACGGACATGCAAATTACTTAAAAGGTTCCACACAGACAGGGAAGTAATCCAGGTCGTCAGAGGATGTACTTCTTTCTTTCCTCTGGCATGCGGTCTTCACTACAGCATCTAGAGCTAGCGTGGCCCCGACGTCTGCGTGCCTCTTTCAATGTTGAGCCAACACACAAACCTTCTTAAATGGTTTTTCATGTTCGATGCAGGCAACAAGACCGATGTGCATTCCAACTGAGAACGCCTCCCCTCTTATTTTACAAATTAATAACCTCGCAGCACAGATGTAGACAGCTTAATAACAGAGCACTGCCTCGCTCTTCCCATCTAGGTTTCTGCCATTGTTGGCTGGCTCCTCGCGTCCTCTAAGCCTCCTCTGTGCCCCCGGCTAAAGGGCACTGCGGCAGCCCTTGCACGGGCAGCATTGCTGCCCATCATCTTCCAGCTTAGTTTAGTGCTGGACCTGCACACTGGTGACAATGTTCCTCAAACAACATAATTGTTTTACTTAGTAGAAGCTTAAATTATAGCCATTAAAGCAACATCCCAAGAGCCCTGGCCTCTTCAGAGCTGTAATTATACTGCAACACTACTCATACTGCCAAGTCATAATTCTATCAAGACTTGTCCAAAGCTTCCTGGAACCTCAGAGGTTTGGGAAACCAGTTCATATGACGGGTGCTCCTCTGGAGCCCAGCCACACGACAACAAGCCAGAGAGACATCAATGGCATTCATTCTTGGTCATGGCGCAAAGGTCAGAGGGTGGTGGCTGGCACATGTTATGAAAATATGGCTGTGTTCATCCTAGTGCTCTTTTTCTGAACGGTGTGTGCCTTTTTAATGGCAAGGTCAGTAGGACGTATCTGCAAGGGGAGATCATTTTGGGCTGTTTTGGGGCAATACTAAAGGGATGACTAACAATTAAGGTATAGGCTTCATTGAGCATTCTCCTGTCCTCCTTTCTTCTACAACCAATTATTTCTTGTAACTGAACCATTTCATGGGCTTATTTTCTCCTATTACCTCCCTCGTTTGAACAACTGAAAACAGATCACAGATACACCTGGTCTTAAGAAAATAAAGAACAATGTTTTATCTGTAGAATGAGTTTAAACCAGTTTATGAATCCCATTTCCTCTTACCTGCACTTTTCTGGAAGGAGGAGATGGCCTGCTCCAGGCCTTCTATTGTCTGTCGGTTACTACGTGTACCGATCTGAGAGTAGAGGGCGGCCATGTTGAAGAGGATGCTGGCCTTCTCCAGGGACAGGTTCTGTTGGCACACCGGCACTCCTGTGAAGGAGTCGTACCTGACAGAGGAAATAAGTTGTCACTATATAATTAAGTAAAGCAGCATGTGTGTTCCTTGTCTGGCTGTATGAATAAAGTACATTTAGCATGAAGCAAGTTAGGAACTACATACTAAAATAATTCAAAACAATTCTACATTAGATTTTTGTTGTCTAGAATCTGCTTTTAACAGCTTCAAAAATGCTGCAGGAAGGAACAACCAAAATAAAAGTTCCAACTAATAAGAGTCCTTTAAAATGTATCCATCTTAGGAGACAAAGCCCAGCCTGGCGTCTTCTGGCAAAGATATGCCCGTTGATCCGTGGATTTAAGGATGTAAAATGACTGAGCATTTGGTTTAAGCTCAAAGGCTTTGGAGAGCCCCGGTGTCGAGGCTCAAGGCAGCTAGATTAAAGCGCAGAACAGCTTTCTTCATAATTTTCCTGGCTTAATCCCGTTTTATCACTTCTCACATAACCTCACCCGTTGCCTTCCCAGTAAGGCTTAGGAGGTTACGGTCCTGTTGATATTTGTATACTAAACCAATATCCTATAAGGGGCTCCATCTAAAACACTTCTTGTGGTGCGGATTAGTCATTGTTGGCGTGTACCAGGTAAAGAATATCCCAGTCTGGCGGGTTGGGGGAAAGAATCGGCTTTCCATCAGAGGGAGATGGCTCGAGTATTTTGCCAGGAGTTCCACCCCGGCCTCGTCTCGACTCGGCGTCCTGCAAGCCTAGGAACATAGAAATAAAGCGATCTGATAAACTCTGCAATGATTGTTAAACGTACAGCTGTGTTGTTGTTTAAATGATCAGTGTTTTCAAATCCGTATCCGAAAGGACTAACATGACATATAAAGTCTTTGTGTGTACACTACCTGTCGTAGGTCCATCAGGTCGGCGATGGAGTCTTCAAAACTGTTCCCGTCTTCACTGTAGTGCTCCAAGATGAAGTCCTGTCAGAAACAGACAACTCAATACAACATGCTGCTGGCTTGTAGTTGTGGGCAGCGCTCTAGGGCTCCACCCCGTGACCCTTTGCTTACGGGGCGGCCACTCGCACAGCTAATCCACTGCGTCACATCATCCTTAGCTGCATGCTGGAGTCCAACATGAGCAGTGCCATGGGGTGCTGCCATTCTGTCAGAGCGGGCCACTCATTACAACTACGGTCAGTGAGTAGAGCGGCATCAACATGCACACAAACCAGAACAGGAAGGAGTTTTATGGTCGGAGGATTTATTGTTCCGGAACCAATAAATAGCAGATGTAGTTTTGCTGCTGCAGTGCACGGTGCAGGCAACACGGCACAAACACTTTCAAGGAACAATGTCTTTGTTTAGAAATGTGTGTGATATTTGTCATCAGTATTTGTAACCATTTACTTAAAAATGCATTACATCAAATGGAAGATTCAGAATGTCAAATAATCAAACACTTGCTAAGATAAAAGGTTTGCATGGTGAAGCTGTAATTGTTGCTCTTATACCTTGAATATGGTGGAGAAATCAACGTCTTTTGTCTCCTTCAGACCCAGAGCAATGAGGGGGATGTTTGCAGTTTCCCTGTGAGCAAAACAGACGGACGGAACAAAACATACGTTGGTCAGTCATCACATGCTCAATGTAGTACACATAAAACCGAAAACATTCATGAGGTTTGCAACCAGGACATAAAAGATAGGACAACACACAATACAGCAGGACCTTACATACAAAAGCACAATGCCGTGATTATCTCAAGGAGTGCATGTGCAGACAGATGCGTCAATAGGTTAAAGCTGGACAAAAGCAGCTCCAAGGTGTGGTGCAAGATATCAAGCAACAAGGAACTCCCTTCGACAACAGACCCAGAATCGGTAGGGATGATAACAGTCAGAGCATAACAATACGTATAGCGTTATCATCATACCAGCGACGACTTGTGAAAGTTTACATTTTCATCGAATCTTTAGTGTAGCTTCATCGGGGGGGGAAGTCAGGATTAGACAGATGGTGCTGTAAGCACACTGTAGGAGTCAGGATTTAAAAGGTGAATGGGGCCCTTGTGTCTCCTCTTGTTGTAAAGCCTCACATCTCGCTGTTGATAAATCATTCCAGAATTGCAGCCTTGCTTCTGTAGTGCTAACAAGCAGGTTCTTGAGGTTATATTATTTTTACAGACCAAAAACTAAACAGACGCTGCCATAAAGACGGCAGTTTTCTTTTCGGATCTCAACTGTAGTTAAAATGGTGCAGAAGGTTTTTTCCCTGGCTGTATGAACCTGGAGGTCCTTGCTGCTGACGGATGGAAAGCAGGTTCAGCTCCTTATCGGAGCGGAGGAAATACAGCCTGACAGATACCTGCTGACGATCAGACAGAGTTCATTAGAGAAACGGGTGGAGGAGAGTGGGGTTTGCTAAATAAATTGGCAAACAAGCTCAGGTGGCTGCATTTTATTATTTAAACTTCCACTGAGGGCAACAGCAAGCCCCAAACTTTAGTTCCAACATGACCACGTCTCCATGGTGTTGTTATCCCAAACCTATTTGAAATCAGGACTCTCCTTCTCTGAGGGTTCAGAGATTTGGTACAGCCTTTTGACCGGCGGGCAGGACGTCCCAACCAAAGGGTTTGGAGAAACAACACCTTCTGTCCTCATTCATCACTTGACGATAAGGCAGCATTCCTCTGGCATACAGGCTGCGTGAATCACAGAAAACCTCATTCATCAGTAACCGGCTGCACTGTAATCCATTAGCAGTCTTTTCTCTGGTTTGGCAGAGGGGAGCGGTGGGATATCTGTTCTGCAGGGAATCTGAAATGTTAAAAGCCTCTCAGAGGCTCACTCCCCTTCCACACAGAGTGTGTGTGTGTGTGTGTGAGAGAAACAGACGACCATCGCTAAAATGGCAGAGCGAAGCGCTGTTTATAGCTACGGCCCTTAAACGCTTTACTAAACATCAAAACTCGTTGTTACACAGTTGTACGATATGTTTCTGGAACCTAAGCCCCCGCCCCAACTCCTCGGAGTCAAAGGGGGGCTTCTGGGGGGCTTGTGTAAATAAGAAAAGCTGGACGCGTATTTGCTTCTTTGCCCATTGTAACATGAAAACCTATTCTCTGAAAATGAAACACAAAAGGAGAGCAAGAAAAAAATGGGATGAATGTGGAAAAAATTGCCCAAAAATTGTGATCATATATTGCAACGTTGCAAAAGCTCATTTCTCTAACATAAATGAACCTGAATGATTTTTCGTCTATCTCAGCAAAGTCATTGAAGCGTTGTGTAGTGCTGACATCTTTTCATCCGTCAGCAGGTTGGCTGTGCTGATTCAGAAAGTCAGTCGGGGACTTCAGCTTGTTGTCCAGTACACGGAGGAGAACAGACATTTTGCTGCAGAGGAAGCAAACGCTCTGTTGTGCCTGCAGAGAGTCATCCCACTGGCACACCTGCTCAGACCGTCTCAACATATCAAATATTGCCATGTGCAAGCTACACGTTTGTGTGACTGAGATCATATAACCACCTTGGACCATGCACGAGTTTAGTCTTCTTTGGAGGGGGGGGGGGCAAACAGACAATGGTAGCTCGCTGATGGTACTTTCCCAGGATGCCTTTTGTCTTTGGGTGCAGCAGGTGCTTCTCTAAGAGCTCAACAAGGAGGCTGTTGAGAGGCTAAACGTTACCACACTCAAGTCCGTCTGATCCCATGTGACAGAGGACTCTCTGCTGTGGAGTTTTGTCCACATCCATGTAATTAGTGAACTAAATGGCCGGTCTGTAATAAAGAGCTGGTTGTCTTGCGTTTTCTTGAGCGTGACAGGACAACTCTTACAGGACATTATTGGTTTCTTTCACAACATCAGCTAAATATCGCGGAGTGGAACACGAAATACTTTCAAAAGAAAAATATTTGGCTGTGCAGATTTCTGAGAGTAGAATATATTGATATATACATTGATGCAGACAGACACACTATATTGCACGGATCCTTGAGACATACATACAACATTTTCATCAATAGCCCATGAATTTGACTAGCCATGAATTAATTAAACACTAGAAGCTGTCACTGTGTCACACACACACACCCTCTCTGTGATCAGACCGACTGAGCGACGCTGTGAATGTGAATGATGCACGTTTGCATGCAAGCTCAGCTCAGCGTTTCCTTGTTGCTTTGTATCCCAAAAACCTGCTGGTCCAGTTCAACAACAACAACAAACTCATGCACACGGTCTTCGTGTTTTTCCAACATGCCTCGCTCTTCCGCCGCACACTAATTTTCTCTACTCCTCTGTCATCGAGTGTCTTTCATGTGCGATTCGGAGCTACAGACTATTTGCATGCAGGGATTAGTTTGTCAAGTCCTCAAGTTTAAGGTTTGATGTGGTTTGGTCAATGACAACCTAATGTGAAGAGAGCCTTGGTGTGTTTCAACACTGAAGAGCTCTGGCTGCATTGCAAGCCTTGTAACCTACAATCTATTTAATAGCCTCATCACAGGCAGCCAATTAATCTTTGCTATGCAAGTGATTATATTGCCTACGGATGTATTGCTACTGCGGAAACATTAGCGCTAGTCATTTTTTTATGGGTCATGACATCACCCATAAAAAAAGATGGCAAAAATAGCTGTGTGACTGACAAAACACAAAATAAAATTGTATTATCTGGTTTTATTTCATCTTAATTTCACTAATGCCTTGAACAATACAGTATGGAAGATGTAGGCATCTTTGTGCTGTAACCAGATATTTTTCACTTATTATAATCAGACTTACTGGGTGTTCTGGTAGACTTCCACTGAGCTGTTGAGTCCCTCCAGCTCTCCCATCAGCAGCTGCAGGTTGGAGTTAACGTAGCTCAACTCCAACAGAACCATCTCTTTCACCTTGTTGTTGGACGTAGCCCTGCACACAGGAGAGATGGGAGAGGACCAAAAAAAAAGTGTCATAAAATAGAGGAGAGGAAAGAAATATCAGCCTTGTTATTATCCAGTGTAACGGAAGCCAAATGTTCCTGCAGCGGATCGTTAAAACAAACGTGCCTCCCCCACAGCTCGGGACCACGGACATGCGTCACTGTGCACTCGATTTACTCTCAAGCACACGCAGCTTTACCAAGATCTAAGAATCACCATTGCGAAGCATGCGTGGTACAACTGCAATGTCATTGTTGAACATTTTTGTTCTGTACGTCGTTTGTGCTGAGGTGGGTAAAGATTAGCGTGTTAAGGGGTTACGGCTAACCGCACAGCAGAGATAAGGTCGTAACAATGTGCGTGTGTATGTGTAGGTAAGCACACACACACACACACACACACGTCAAATCCTTTGTAATGTGGAATTTGTGATGCATTGTCCGTTTGTGAACACACATACACACAGACACACTGGTGATCTCACTTTCTCCTTATCTTTGTTCTACAGTGGATCTTAAAACAAGTCATAAATAATGGCAGACATCCACATGGACACTCCCCAACCGCAAACTTGTGCCAGAGATCTTTCACCTGGCGTGTGTGTGTGTGTGTGTGTGTGTCTCTCTCTCTCTGACCCTCAGCCAATTGTGGTTTTTAACGAGAACGGTGAGCTGTGAAGGAGCACTGGCAGGAATTAATTAACATAATTTAATCTAAAAGGTTAAAGAGACAAACTAGATGTCTACCAACATTACACCTTTAATGGCTGATCTTTTTCTCCGGTTGTCTTTATTTTGGCATTTTTGCCTTTCACGCTTTCAAATACAGACTGTAAAAGGCAGCATGACCGGCTGTAACCTGCTACGGCTACAAAGACGCTCTTTGGGGGATATTTTATGCCAGAAACATTGTATAAAAATGACCGACTTTGTTTCCTCGTAAGTATTGTTATATCTTGACGATAAGTTGACGTGAGCATGTTTCAAAAACGTTCTAGGGAATCAATTACTGAGTGCAGTCTTCCTCTCCATAAAACACAACATAGGATGGGCAAGCTCTGCTTAGCATCACTTCCTTTTGGCCTGCTGAAGGGAGTCGCGGGAGATCAGGCCTGGGGAAGCCATCAGGGCGGAGGTGCTGTGGTTTTGTTAAGCAAAAAAGATGCCAGCTCGCCAGCCCGGAGGCTGTTATTAATATCTAATATCATCCCGCGGAGCGTGGGAACGAGCCTGGAAACCAGCAGGTGAGGTTTCACTGAAGTCCCCCGGACCGCTTTCTTGGTAGAGCTGTTTTATTACATTTTTGCCAGATTCACAGTATGTGGTATTTTTCCTCGCAGCCGCAAGAGGGATATCCTGTCCTGATAATGATTGGAGTTGACAGAAATAATTAGTATCTAGTGCATATCAATATATACGAGGTCAGTCCACTGCTATGACACATCAATCTAGTCATCATGAGGAGGTGGGTATAATTAGGGCTGTGCGTATGGCCAAAAATCCATATTCTTTTTTCATCTACGTAATATATCGAAAATCAGGAACTTCCTGTTTCAAAGTGAAAAATGAGTTCATGCGTTTGTTACATTTAGACTGGATTACTGTAATTTGTAGTTATCAGGCTGCTCTTGTAAGCAGCTGCAGCACGTGTATTAACAAGAACTAAGAAACAGGATTATATTACTCCTGTATTAACTTCTTTGCTATGAACGGTACGTGAGAAATTCATACCGTATGGAAATCTTTTACCGGTGTACCGTTTGAACCGGAATACCACCCAGCCCTAGCTACAGTCTTAAAGAAAGCTAAAAGATCTGTCAAACCCAAGCAAAGATAACCTCTTCATTCCTTATCAGGGTTAAGGTGAGAGAACTAGTCTGACTAGTATGACTTCACCTGTTGTTGATCGAGAGAGGAATGCAGAACGAAAAGAAAAAAGGTGAAATGGGTAAGATTGACAGTACCAAATGAGAAAAAAAGGACACACACACACACACACACACACACACACATTTAAACACACACTGTGTACTAAAGGAAAACAAGCACGTACATTCTTCATAGGTCACAATGACTCAAACTAAACTCTAAAGGAGATGTTTATGCGGTTTTGTTGTAATATTTATTCTCTTAAGGAAAAGGAAAAAATAAAAAATAGGCGTCTGCCATGCCCTGGAATGTTTGTTTTTTTACCTATGCTTTTGACATGACAAACCAGGTAGATAGTCTAAAGAAGTAGGAGCGATGGCAACCGTATTATCCACACACTGGTGTAAGACCACAGGTACAGTCGGACTGCATAGGACCATAAAACAATAAATTGCAGAGCACACCTCAAAACATACAGACACTGTGCTGCGGCTTGGGTAGCGCACGCGCGCACACACACTCACACGCACACGCACTCTTCCCCTGGCGGGGCAGACAGCATGAAGCACTACAGGAATGTGGAGGCCTCCGAGGCTTAGACAGACCTAATGGACACAAACGCACAGAGCAATACCCTCGCCAGACGAACGGAAAAGAGTTGATTTGAGAATCCCAGTAGGGGAGGTTGAGCATCGCTGTACCTTCTTATGTCTCCAGACTCAGGAAACCCCAGGACCCCTTTAATGATAGTGCGTCGTTACAGTTCACTGAGCTTTGCTGTGGGGAACATTATCCTTCTGCCAAAGGCCACACAGACCAGAAGGTGGACACAGTAATAAAAATAACTGTACCTGTATATCTTACTGCAATGCAATTCAGTGAGCCTGCAATAATAAACACTACTTTTAAGGATTTTTTTATATTCCATGCATTATTCTTATTTTTCATCCTCCACAATTTAGTATATAAAAACAAATCTTGATCACCCAATATTGATGGCCTAACATTTAAGAACTACAAAAAAAAAGCCAAATGACGACAGTAACTACAAGACAAGAAAAAAGTATTTCTAAAGTCACCAATGTTCTTTAGCCCGTCGGAAGCACTTGCCATGAAGGTCGCATGAGAGAATAACAAACATAAAAGAGGACGGGTTAAACTCTTGTGCACACCGGTGCAGGACAGCTGGTCAAGTGCAATGGAAGGCCCTTAAACATACAGCAGAAACTGTGTAAACACTTCCCGACCAGCGGAGCAGCGCTTCGGCCTTTCCTCGAGCTCCCGTAACAGGAAATGTCAGAAAATAGAGCTAGATGTATGTCTACACGTGAAACCATGATGGATTCCTGAAAAGAACAGACGATTCTGAAAACCAGCGTCTTGTAAGTAGAAGCCAGACTGAACAAACGGCCTGAGGTCGAATGGTATTCCAGAGGTCAGTGAACTCGGCTTTCTTTCTCTCTGCTGCACCGTACCTGCTGAGGACTCTGATCTCAAATAAGGCCCCGTGTTTCAGTAAAAAAAACATTTATTTTTCAAATGGAGACACACATAGAATCTGCGTGCCATTGATTGAGTCACATATTTCTCCACACTCGGTTCACCTTTTAGTTTTCCTTTAGTGCAAGGAGCTCGACAACATACAACAGATACCAAAACTTCTCCTAGTCATAAAAAAACAAAGTATTCCTATCAGACAAATCATCCTACGCAAAACGGTTAAAATATTATTTGGAGGTTTCTTCTAAACCCCATATGACAATAGCCGTTTTGTCCTCTGCTCCCCCTGAAGGCAGTTGCTGTTACGTTCTTAAGGAGAATTCACCACGACGGAACAACGAAGGCGACGAAGCCGGTCCGTCTCAACATCAACAGACTGGAGTTTATCAGAAGTCACATGAAGCACATAACTGACCATATAAATACAGATGAATGACACATGGGCCAATGGCTGGAGCACCAGCCAGCGGAGAGGTAAACTTACAACAGCTGGCTCTCCCTCATGCAAATAACGCCCAACTGGGAGTCCCGGCCTTCCCACTCAAAGATTCCACATTGTGGGGAATCGACCCTTTAAGCGGACACCAAGTGTACAGCATACATGTTTAGTCCTTACTTCAGCAGGTTCTCCGCTCCAGCCCTCATCCTCATCTGTTTGATGATCTGCTGGTTCAGAGTGGCTCGCTGATTCTGCAGTTTGCTTCGTCCGGTCCGCGCCAGCGGGTTGCAACCCTGAGTAAAAGGATATGGAGGAAACAAACACGTCAGCTGATGAGGATATCTTGTGTCATTGGTGGGAAACTAAAACGCATTAGTGTCAAGAACGTGCACACCTCAAATAAGTAAAAGGATTTTCCCAAATTACACTCTCAAACCACCTTATAATAGATCCTTAATTTCCTTCAAGTCATTTTTAATTATGTTTTACTTTAACCTCTATCTATTCGTATCAGGTCAGTTTGCTAAATCAGTAAATATCCTAATATCAGTCGGGGAAAATCAGAAAATGACTAGACAGCGGTTTCTCTAAAAGTTTGCCTGACGTCAACATTTTTGCTTTATTAAGAATCATTGCAGTTTACTTTTTCTTTATTCCCCGAGGTAATGTTAAAAATTAGGGTGTGGAAGGGCGCTGCACCCGGTTACATTGAGCCCAGCTCAAACGCACGCTCTGCCGCTCTGTGTATACCACACATAGCATGTGGCTGAACTGTGTGTCCTTGTCCTATTACAACCACAAGTGTCCCAGCCTCACTGAGTCAACAGGCTGCCACTCACAGCGGCGCAGATCTACGGGCTGTGGACATTCACACCGACTGACTCACAGCAGAGGTGTGGTCCATCGCTTCACTTCGAATGGCAAGGCTCAGAAACCAGTCGACTCAGTCAAACCTGTTAGCTCACAGTCCTCAAACGTTACACAGAATTTGCAAAGCAAAATGAGCTTTAGTTGTGACAGTAGGGAAAAAAAGTCAAGATGTCTCAGCAAGAAAGTATACAGTAAATATTCAAATGACTCGGAGGCAAAAGAGAAAACTCAGTGTCAAGTTCTCCTTTGGTAATACACATCAGACGCAGGGAAGGTGCATCGACTTGTCGCTTAGCGTGGCTCACTCTAATTTCCAATTTATATTTTCAGTATATGAATAAATGAAGAGAAGTTTGAGAAATAATTGCTGAGAAGTTCTGTTGATCGTGGATGAAATCCAAGAATTGAGTCACAAAACTTAGGGGTCTAGAAGATAAATACAATTTTCATGCCTGTCACACCATGTAATTTGCCGTTTCGAATGCTACTCACCTAAAGTGCAAACCACACAAGAGGCTCACACAGATAGATTAGAATCCCTCACCTGCTTCCCTCAAATATTCATTTTGCACTTGAGTTCCTAATTGAATACTCAGTTCATCTCACCAGTATTTAATTAGGAGTATACAAAAATAGGTTGATACGAACTTTATTTATTGATCTGCCAGAAAACATGCTTTAGTTTCATACACGAGACATGAGTTCATATGGAGCGTGTTGCCAAATCGCCCCGCCCTTCTTGTCCCATGATGCGGGGCGAGTCTGCAGTGGCTATTTATAGACGCTGATACGGACAGCAAGTGTGGAAAACATATCCTGACCCTACTTTACTATCATTTTAAATCGACTGAAGAATACCTACAAAACTGAACACATGGATTTACATGTCACATAACTGCAACGTCCTACATTTTGAGTCCAGCTGAGGAACAACTGCATTAATCCCGCGGTCTCTCTTCTCATTTCCTGTCTACCTCAAAACTCTCCTGTCTAATGAAGACGAAAATACCCCAAAATGACCATTCCAAAGGATAAAGTACAACTGGCGATGTGGTGCTGCTCAGAGGGATTGTTCTTATTCATTCAACTCGAAGTCGACGCGGTTGTGCTTTCCGCCCTTGTTTCGCCTGTCACATCGTTACGCTTACATCTGACTCACGTTGCCGAAGCCGTCATTTAAGGGACGTCCGTAGGAATGAGTAGGCTGGGACTGTGTGCATCCCAAATACTAATTACACCACGTCAGCCTCGGGTGGGTCACCTTTGACATCCCGGTATCTCTATAACCGCTCCACTTTAGTCACCTGGGTGTTGCTGTACAAACACTTTGGTGACCTGAGCACGTAATGATTAACCATTTACACAAATGAGTGCTTACGTAAAATACACAATGGAGCCCCGGCGACGCTGCCGGGCGGCGTAGCCCGGCTGCACGTATTGGCGGCTATGCTTAGAACGACAGAAGGGCGAGGCCGTAGGCCTGCGGCTGCAGAGGGAGGCGACATGCGCCAGTATGTTGTCACGTCAGTTATTACACCAAAACTGCGCCGTACGTCCGCGTTACATAACAAGGGAGTGTTTCCATTTTCAAGATTGGGGACGAAATCCCGTGCTGGCATTCCAAAGCGATGTGCATGATCCTCACATAGAAACCCGAATCCGATCAGCCGATCAGACCATTACATCATGTCTCATCATCAAGTGGAGTCACTCCATAAAACTGATGGTCAGATGGCACACCTGTCTGTGAGACACACTGGATTGTGTAGGAAACTGCTTTACAAGCCTCACGACATCCAGCTAAGCTGTGTGCCTTCAACTGCAGCAACTCCACATTAAATTACGAGGCACATGGAAGAGGTCTTAACTGTGGCTCTGCTACTGCTCTACCGAACGCACTGGAGCCCTCAGGGAATTGAACCTACTCCTGCCAACTGGCAAACTCAAAACAGTGCGACAGTTCTCCAGCAGCGCACAAAATACTCTGTTACAGCCAAACACAAAGACAGTCCTGTCCGTTATCGTAGCCATCAAACAGCCAATCACTGGGCTGTTGTATAACCGAGGCTTCACGGGGAGAAAGTAGAGCATCGTGGTTCACGGGACGGTTGGCCAGATGGAATTATAATTAGAGAGTGTGCTCAGTATCTCAATATTCACGCCTCATCGCCATCAAGCGGATTTCATGGACGGTCACTAATTGACATTAAATTTACTCCAATTACTGAGGGGACGCTTTGACTGGTTGCTCAAAAGGCGGTGGGCTTCATTCAATCCGGGTGAAGACATTAGTACATTATTTAGTAAATATTCAATCACAGATGAATCTCTCATTCGTCGTTTTCCAATACAAACCCTGCTAAGGGAATTATAAATGTGTTTCCAAGCTGAGGGAGCTTGTCTGGTTTCTGAACTAGGACACATGTTGTCAATTTGTGTCTGTGGTCTGGCTGAAGGACGGCCTCGGGGCCAGATGCTACGTCAATGCTCTCGAGAATCATGCAGATTCTGCTTTTTTCGGTCCGCCATCTTTCCACCCAGCATCCGTCCAGTCGGACCTCGGCCAGCCGGTGAGGTGAAACAGTGGACGGCAGCCCTGAACCGCAACAGCTCCCCAGAGCGTCAGCTGGACCCAGTGAGGCCTTGTAAATCATTACAATCATTTTCAGCCAGGAGAAGCCGGGTCCACAGAAAAAAAGGGAAGCAAAGATCGCACTGGCACCGCTTGGTTAAATTTGGACCAAAAAGGTTTCCAAAAAGTGAATCCCTTCAACATGACAGAATGGGAACGCAGAACTCTGGGGTTCGAACTAATGTGCAAGGCTCTTTTTATTTGTTACTGAGAAAGGTTTCTGCAATGAGGGCAAAGAAGAGTTTAACACTTGGAGAGCACAGAGGACACAGGAGATGTTACAGTGATAAAGGAACCAGTTTGTGCTTGAGGTGTCAGGCTCTCCGCGCTCTCATCATTTCTAAAAGCCAGGCTTTTTTTTTTATACAGACGCAGGAAGTGCAGCACAGAGTCCAAATCCAGACAGCGTTCAGAGGGGGATTCGGGGGCAGCAGAAAATACAAAGGCCCTGTTGAGATGCCCATCCGAACCAGCTCTTCTATGAAAACACTCTGCCGCATGGGAGACCGGGAACTCGGTAAAAACACATTGGATAATCACTCAACCACTACCAGGAGCTTTTCTCATAGCCTCAAACTAGACAAACTCCAAGCCCATGAAAATGTCACAGTCGCAGCTCCATGAAACCAAGAGCAGGTTGGTGAGGTTTACATTCCCGGAGCGTGTTAATTACTACACAATGACAGCTCTCCGGAAAATGTCTTTACATGATTAAAAAAGGCGTCAACTTTAAAGACGAATGCTGGAAGGGAAAACTGCTCTCTTATCTGATTTACCAATTTAGATAACCTGCACACTTAGCTTTAACAAAAGGTCAAAGATCAGAGCTTTAGAGGCTGTACAATGGTCCCTTAAACATTGATGACCTGTAAGGGCTGCAGGCGAGTCTGACCTCGGTTCACCAAGAATTTAATTTTCATCAAAGCTGTGGAGCCCCCCCCAGCGCGCGCACACACACACACACAACAAACAAACAACACTCCTTATTCAATGCCAGTCGCCATCACACCTCCAGCAGGGAACTGATGCTGCAGATTACGAAGGGTAGTTTGGTTACTGGCCTCCCAGTCAGCCACTATCAGTGACTGCAGGAGATGCAGCTATTCTGGGAGTAAAACACACATCCTTATCCCCGCGGACACACACAGCTGAAGCTGACAGCACCTGTTGCTGTGCTGGATTCGGGACCAAACTGATTATGAGAACACATTGGTGTAAAAGTGTAGGTTTTCCCCGCGTGGGGATCTACACACGCCTCCGATTACCTTTGTGATTTATTGCATGGAGTAAATGAAGGAAACCGTAAGTCGTCCGTTGACGTCAGTGAAGCGAGTCGTCCGCGGCTTGAAGCGGCTAAACAGCCTCTAGTTAACGGCTACAAACACGCCGCCGTGAGGCTGCTTCCGGCGAAGACCGCTTTGTGAAGACGCCTTCAGCACGCTGGCGACGCACCGACACGGTCACCGAAGTACACAACTCACGTAGAAGCTGGAAAACACGGCGCCAAGCAGCGCGCTAGCAGCAGGCTAACTCTACGCGGTTAGCGTAGCGTAGCGTGACGGACGTCGCGGGCTCGGGAGCGTTACCCCGGAGACGCGGATCGGGGGGGAAAGAACTCACCTTTCGGAAACGACCGCTGTCTTCTCCGCCTTCTTTGACGCCGTTTGGTAAAAGAGCGTCCGTCATCCCGAAGGCTGGGACTCTGAGACTCTCAGAGGATAAAATATAAAAAACAAGTGAATTAAAAACAAAAAGAAAAGGTTAAAGGTGTTAAAAGCTGCCCGCTGCCGTTCAACAGGTGGGTCTCTCTCCTCCGAACAACGCGTCTGCTCTTCGCTGCTCTCCGACCGCGACTTCTGGCGACGAAGCTCCGCCCACACGGGAGCTCGAGACGGGCGCGCGCGTTTAACCTGTGCGGCGCACCGTCGAGCCCGCACCTTGTTCTTCACCGAGACGACCAGAATCCGCGTCCGAATCACAGATATTGGCCGTGTATGCTGACGCATACGTGGAATTTGACTACGGGTTTTCCTTTGTTCTCCACATACTGAACATACAGTTCGTTATACAAATACAGGAGAAAAACAAACAAACAAGGTGAACACAAATAAGTAAAACTGGGGAAAGGTATCAAGATATAAATATATAAATGTTATATATATATATAACAAAACACAACATTTGGTTTCACTATTTGTATATATATAGGAAAAGCACCCTTAGTTCATATATATATATATAAAAGTTCATGGCCTGTGGGGAGAAATCTCTGATGTTTAAAAAAAAATGTTTTCTTTTTAAAACATTCAAACAATGCTGAAAGGTAAAGATGCAGAGGTAAGACGGTTTGTTCATTCCATGCTGAGATAACATTCTAGTTTTAGTAGAGAATGAATGTGTTTATCTGAAACTAATGTAGGGGACACCAAATAACTGACTAAATGAACAACAATGAAGCCATTATTAGCCGTTTTTAAATCCACAAATGAGATCATTTCTCCAGAAATACATTTCAGTCTGATTTTGAAGGTCATACTGCAACAAGGAAACGCGACCTCCAGGTATTAAAAGTAGGATACTCCTCTAAACCATTCTGTCTTTGTCGGTGGCTTCTGTAAATATGGGACGGTCCATTAAGCGGTCGTGTGTTTAGCCCATCGGCATGTTTGTTTCTGAGGCGAGACAAGAGGAGCTGTCGCCTTGCGTTGGACTGGTTTTGCCAGTTAGAAAGCATGTTAAGAGGTGGTAATTACTGCCAGGAAACGACTATTCAAAATAACTACACAGAGTTGAAGCCAGAAGAAGGAGTGTATAATTAAAGCCAGACATTAGCTTGTAAAACTAAGATGTATTAAACTTGTATTACTAGCTTCATTTAGCAGTTGTGGCTGAATCAATCAGTCTTTCCAATTGAATTCCGAATGTCAGAGAATGACAGTAGGCCAGCCAGTGTGTCAGAAAAGCACCATGCGAATTGCTGTTGTTTAGAGGTCCGTAGACACATTGACAATTGTTCACATTGACATTCAGATTCAAACGTTTCACAGAGGAAGATAACACAGAATGGTAGTCTAAGTTGTAATGGACCATTCACTTGTCTTAGGTGTTGTGCTTCAGAAGGACAATGTCGCATTGTGCAAACTGGTCAAGCTGGTTATGTTGGTGACCAAGTATCAGTCAGGCTTTTTTTTGCTTTGTACAGGAAATGTTTTTTAATAAGCACATCAACAGTCAGAAAAAAAGGACCGTCAAAACAAGATTGTTTTGCTCTTTGACTTGAATTAAAAGTCTCCCTCACATGACGGTCACAAAAACTGGACACAAAGTGACAAAGCAAAAGAGTGCAGAGGGCATCTACGTCTGTGATTAGGAAGATGTTCAGCCACTTCAGGAGACTAGCGGCAGTAGTTATGATACAATTGGATGAACGGAAAATGAACTCGTGAAACGTGAGGATGTGTCACATCACCAGTGGTGTACTAAACAACAAGGACCACTGGGTGGGGGTAGAGGTCAACATCCAAGCAATGACGTGCCCATTTATTGCATGATCATGCTTTCTTCCTTTAGTTTATTATCTCGAATAATACAACACAATTCGACTTTACTGGTCAGACCCTGTTCTGTTTGTGTTGAACTGTTTCCTCTTATTATACATTACATTATAAGCAACATTTTCTGGACCCGTCTCATATGTCGGGAACAATATCGGAGAAAATACTGCATGCTAGTCCATAACTTTCCCACGTCGCCTGTAAAGAAAGATGCATCTTACTACAGACATAGTTACAGACATATTGCATTTTTTTACCTCATTTAGTTCCTGGAGCAAGTCGTGTTTACATGTTTTCTGCTTACGTTTGCTTCCTGTCTGAGTTTAAAGTCTACACTACTTTGATGGTATACTTGTCCTGTTCAATGTGAGTCTACTACGTTGTCTAAAGTTGTCGGAGCGTTTGCACACACATGAGCACGGAGGTGAGTTCCCACCGACGTTCCCCCTAATGTCAGAAGGTCATATCAAGTCTGCCCGTACTTAAGCTTATATGACTAAACCCAGACGGACCTTGAAGTCATGGCTGTAAAACCATATTTTATCTACAATTACAGATCATGGCTGGGTGGTAAAAAAACAGTTTTCTATTTACAACCCATTTCACATAAAAGACGGCCACACTTCCTCTACACGATCAGGACCTTTCCTGGAAAACGAAAATCCTGGATGAAAGGATATTGATTTTGATTGAAGGAGAAATACTAAAGTCGTTAATGGAAACAGACTTAATTAAAAAGGTACTGAATGCTGACTGCTCAGCTTTTATTGTTCCAAAAATGGCGCCGGTAGGCCCTCGGGGACCCACATTAGCAAAGCCGTATGGAGGCCCCCCGCCTGTTAAAGGGTGCGCTGAACTGAGGGTGCTTTGCCTTTCCGCTCATTTCTCTTCTCCTCACAACGAAGCACAAAGCCGATTGTAAGCGAACTGCTTCCCGGCCGTCTTTCTAAAGGCCGAGGGGGCACTGCGGTGAACAACGGGCACCGGCGTTCGACCCCTGGCCCAACAGGAAGTGCTGTTGGGTTGCTATGCAGCTCTGCTCACCGGCCGCAAGAACTCTGGGCTCCCTGTTAACAAATGATGTGCGATGCGGGCAGGAGAGCAAAGGCACTCCAGAAGCTCTACAGTAAGAAAAGATCAAGGGCGCATGAAACAGAGTGATACTTTATGCTTGGCTGCAAAGTGGTGTTGGGTTCAAGGCCTCTTCTCCTTCCTTTCTCTTTGTTTGTGGCTTCATTCCTCCCTTTTTTTGGTTCCCCTCACCTCTCCGTCTCTGGCCGTCTCTGTCCCACCTTTCCTTTCTCCATCTCTGCCTCCCTTGGCGGCTCGCTCCGTGCTTCCTTTGCTTACTTGCTGCCGATTATCATTATGTTTTCTTTCCTGAAATGATTCATCTCGTGCACAGATGTTAGTAGTGTTAAGTTATTGTAGAGGGGTCGAGGTGTCCGCTGCATAATGTAGGCCAAAACAAAGAGAAACGGACAAAGTGGACAACTAACGCAAAACAATAAGTTTCAAGGTGTTTTCCTCTGTGGCCTTGCAAAACCATGGCTGGGGGTAGATAACTCAAAAAGGTTTATTGTACAGTATTAACAATTACAATGCCGCAAATCACAAGAAAGAAAAAATGCTAATTGCCTTTCTTTGATAAAATTGACAAACAATGGATACATACGACTTCTTTCAAAGTTGCCAAAAATGTTTTGCGTGCTACATTCACTGAGCTACTCACATGTTCACAGCCGCTGTTACAGAATCTCCTCTCCTCACTGAGCTCCTCAAGTTTCACAGAGTTTTTGACACATGACTGCTGGTCTCAGGCGAGTCATTCACAGCTTGCGGGAGTGTGATGTGTTAGGACTACAGGATCTAGCTCCTTCAAAAGGGGATTTAAATTGACACTTGTACAACACAATATTTTCATTACATGAATTATTCATGCCTGTCGGAAAGATGCAAACCTGACGATACCGTTTTCAGCTTCTGGCTGCTCTGGCTGAGATAAACGGTGTTGTTTTGGCTGTTTAAAGAAAACAGGATTTTTCATCCTGCTGGCACCTTTTTGGGGCTCAGAGCATTTATTTTGTTTCTGTGCCATGAACTAAAAGCTAATGTCGGCATGGCAACAAGAGACCTTTCCATACTTACAAATGTACTCATCAACCATTGGAACATTGCAAGGGAATTTCATAATCCAGCCCACTTGGAGTGATGAAGGTGTAATTCTAAGACAATCCTCCCAATATCCTTTTAAGAAACCCTATTTGCTGATGAGCAGGTATTCAAATTGCTGGCTAACAGCTAATGTGGCATGGATTTGGTTTACCAATGAACCAACAAGTGTGTCTGACTTTCAACAGGGCAAAAATAAATCTCCCAATCCATCCACATTTCTCCCAACATCATTGTACCCCAACTCATCATGAGAGAAAAAATCATAACCTTTCAAAGGTAAAAATAGTTGATAAATCTCCCCAAATTAACCTTGGTAGGTTAATCCTAAAGGTACATGCTAAGTTGTAAAAAATATCAAAAATAACAGATTTTGTATGAATCATTTGCATGGATCTCCCTCCCCCAGCTCCTCATAGGTGTGTTTAGGTGTTTTCTTCTACTTTTGATGAACCCACCAAGGGTCTTTAATACCTGAAATCACCACAATTAACTGATGGGTGCAGATAATGCAAGTTATTATTTCTCGGCTGCATTTACTCATCTTTAAAATGGTACGAGCTTCTCAGCCTGTTATGTAGACTTAGTAGGATGCAGCCTCATAAGTTGTGTGGGTTTTCACTTGTTGTCATCACGAATCTCTTTTTTTGCGAGGACGGAGGAAGCTTCTGTTCCCCACACAAATCCTTAAGCTTCTACTCCACTGCACACTGCAGCTCCCACCACTTCTTCTTCCTCTTTTCTCCCATTATGTTCCCCATATTTCTTCTATTCCTCTTGCGTCTGTCCTCCTCTTCCATTCTCCTCTCCTGTATACTCCTCTTGCTCCTCCTGCCTCTGCACTAGGATGCTGTGATGTATTTGTTTACAGCACAACTCCTCCCCTGATGTCATCACAGTATTTGGGGTTTTCCCCCTCCATCTCCTCCTTCTTCCTCTTCACCTCCAGTAATCACACTGAAGCCAGTGTTTTCGGCTTGCCTGCCTGTCGCCAACAAGGCATCTCCCCTCTTTGTTGGGGCCTCTTTTTGGAGAGGGAGGCTGTGCTCCAAGTTAATTGTGCATTCGTTAGCATTCACCCGCCGCAACTTAACAACTTAACTCCTTAAACTATACATGAAGTGGTGTGTGTGTGTTTGTTTTATGTGCTTTTTTCTGGTTAAGGCTAAATGCAACAGAAACACTTGCAACAATATCAAATAACAAATAACATTTTCTGTTGAGGGAACA